CCCCTTAGCACGCGGCTGCGCTGCGGCGGAGCGAGATGCGCAGGAGTGCGACGTCTTCCCAGCGGGTGTCGCTTCTCCGCAGTGCATTCGTGCGCGGTGATAAGCGCACTCAACGGAGCTAAACCCGTCCGTCGTACAAACCACGGACAGTGAGAAATATCGGGATACCGACGAGTGCTTTCAGTGTCCCATACGAGTACCGATTTAGGTAGGACCGGGTGTCTAAAAGAAAATAAAACCACGTTCTTTTCTTGCCAGAACATTACGCTACGAGTCACCGAAAGCTCCGTCTATTCCCGAATGTAGCGATTTTCACCGGATGCTGAACTTTTAGAACCCACAGTTGTCCGATTCAAAAGTTGTGCGCGATTTTCGGAAATTTTGATAAAAAAACGGGGCCTATTTTTTTTTTTTTTTTTTTGCATTTACGTGAATTTGCATTATTTAATGGCTGCCGTGTTCTCATTGAATATTTGCATAAATGGCTTATAATGTTTGAGCTAGAGCTAAATTCGGGCAGAAATAAGGCTTAATTCAAGTAAAAATATATGTATAAAAATAACTTTTCTTTTTTTTTTTTTTGCAAGCAGTATGTGAAGCGACAATCTGAAGGTTCTAAAAATTCGCACAACAATCTGAGGTTCTAAAAATTCTCACAAGTGTACCGTAGCAATCCAGCAATGTACCAGTGTGCACAGCGTAACTTTCGGCCTAATTCTTTTACGAACATAAACACACTCATAAAAAAAAATATATATATATATATTAAGGAAAACGGACAAGTGTTCGCTGAACACACTGGGATAAAGGTAATAAAACCTAAGGGTGCCTGACTCGCACATTCTTTAAATAGTTGAACTCCATGTCTAACAATGGCTGCGAAGGGGCGCTGGCATGACTTCCATACGATTTGATTCGATATGCCTCCTGGTTTTCTCGCGCCGTTTTTCATTACGCAGCGGCCCGTTACTCCGCGCGTTCAAATGTCGGGATGCATTTACAACGCGGTCAATGAAGTCTGAGTCTACAGCTCGTTGCTCGCCCTCTCGCGGCGGCGACGGAAAGCGCTCTAGTGAGGGTCATTCCGGTTCTCCGGCTCAGCGGGCAGGGCAAGGAGGAACTGCTCGCGATCATGGCATACATTTCTGAATACGAACAAGAGCCTTCAATGTCCCGATTTAGTGCTGGCGGTATGAGATTGTACCTTACTAGAGAGTCTCAAGTGCTCTTCTTTTGCGTTAGAGTTGAGTGTTTCACGCTGCACATATGCGAGTCGTTGTTATGCGCCAACCCAAGAACGCAAATTTTGGGCTCCGCGCACTCGTACTATGGAACACGAAACGCTAACGCAAACACAATGTGCTTGCGTTCACTCGTTTACGCAACTCACTACTATTTCACCGGTTTTCCAACGTGAGCAGCTGAGCAGGCGTGCACGCGGGTGTGCGTTCCTTCGAACTGGAAAGGCTGAGATTGGCAAAACGACGGCGCGTAAAATTAAAGAAATTTAATGTTCTGGGTACTTCTGTCATTAAAAAACAAAACCGGAATCCGTTTTTTCGTATTTCGGGGCCTTTGATCCGGAAGGATTGGCGGTGAATTTTGAAGTTTTCCTGATTGTCCAAAGCCCGCAATTAATATAATTTTACGTGAATTTCTCAGACTAGCTGAAATGTTTTAATTGGCCTTTAGACTATTTTTATTTCCCAACTCGTTGATGAAGAATGCTGCGTTTAGCACGTACCAGTGATGATAATTTTGCAATGGATCGCCCAAGAGTTCTTCGCGCGTTTGAAATGAGACCATAAGCAACAAATTATATCGGAGTTGAAAAAAATACTTATGAAAATATCTTAATTGTATTATTAATAATACGAACTGCCATAATGTAAAGCCCAATAAATGCTACAATCACAAAACTATGCCACTTCACCCTAGGGTGACCACGTTTCTGCTAGCGAAATGCGGGACACACGGGACCATTGGGGGGGGGGGGGGGGGGGGGGGGGAATTTACGAACACACACAATCTTGTGCTGTTTATTCACTCGCAAATTGCATTGCAGTAATTAACCTAAAATCATTTTCACTTTCAGGGAAATATCTTCACGTTATTAAATGTGTCGAAGAACTCAGTGCATCAAATGAAATTAAGAAGCAGTAAATCTTTTTCGGGTATTCAGCATGGTCCTACGCACATTTTTAACATTATTTTCTTTTTCGAACGCTGTGAGTTGCAGGCCTTTGGCCTTCACACACAAAAAAAAAAAAAAAAAAAAAAAAAGAACCGTTTAGCCGCATTTTCGCATTGACACGATATGAAAACAATGACATCACTTTATATTCAAAACTTTGGCGAGCAATTTTTTCTCACAATATTTTGCCACCAAGGGGAGAGGCACAACGGCGTATGCGCGTCAGTTCTCCTGCAAGAACGACGGTAGCTTCCCGCTATGTTTGGATAGAAAATGGCGTACCATTGTGATTCATACGATTTCCAGCGACCTCCGCGCTTCCCTGTGCCCCTTTGTAAGGCAGCATCATGAGTTGCAGAGCGAATTTTACGACAGTGTGAAATGCGGGACATTTTGAAGATTTTGATATTTCTTGCGTGACGCGGGACACGAGCGCTCAATGGGGGACAGTCCCGGAATTCGCGGGACGGGTGGTCACCCTACTTAACCATAGTCTTTACGGAGAGGTATCATTGTTTTCTTATTAGCATATGAAAAACCCTGACATCGCCATAAACTCTGGATCGTCATGCGTTGCCATAAAAACACTTCCATTGTCGGACAGTGATTCCGTTGTAAAGTTCTTAAAAACAGTTTTTTTGTATTTATACATTTTGCGAACATATAAACTCGACACCCGTGGCGCTATTTGGTAAAATTAGGATTGATTCTGTTATTTTTGTGCTGGGAATAAAGGCCCGTTCACACTCTTGCGACTGCTTGCGACCTCTTAAACCTGGGTTCCTTAAAACTTCTTAAACCAGAGAACACACTGGCGCCATCTATTGGGAAGCAGTGTAAACTCGGCAGTCCGGCATATTTTTTTTTATTTCTCGCGCAATATCCTTTCTTTTTTGGCTCGAAAAACTTTTGTCAATGTTATAAACGAGCCTTTCTATGGGTATTACGCACATTTGACCTCAGAAATCCCGCAAAACCTTCGCTTTTGTGAAATGCAGTTCTAGGGCCACCGCATAGATGGCGCCACAATGTCAGTGTGTCACCTCATTCTAGAAACATTTAAGAAGTTGTAAGAGATCTCGTCTCTCTCAGTCGTACTCGGTCGCAAGAGTGTGAACGGGCCTTAAGAGCCAGCAGCGCTATACTAAAACTGTATAACATATAACACAAGAGTGTGAACGGGCCTTGAAGGCCCGTTCACACTCTTGCGACCGAGTACGACTGAGAGAGACGAGATCTCTTACAACTTCTTAAATGTTTCTAGAATGAGGGAACACACTGACATTGTGGCGCCATCTATGCGGTGACCCTAGAACTGCATTTCACAAAAGCGAAGGTTTTGCGGGGTTTCCGAGGTCAAATGTGCGTAATATCCATAGAAAGGCTCGTTTATAACATTGACAAAAGTTTTTCGAGCCAAAAAAGAAAGGATATTGCGCGAGAAATAAAAAAAAAATACGCCGGACCGCCGAGTTTACACTGCTTCCCAATAGATGGCGCCAGTGTGTTCTCTGGTTTAAGAAGTTTTAAGGAACCCAGGTTTAAGAGGTCGCAAGCAGTCGCAAGAGTGTGAACGGGACTCGGTCGCAAGAGTGTGAATCATCTAAATGCCCCAAAACCAAATAAGGGGCCCGCAGTTCATTATTTCACAGGACAATTATCTGAGTGAGAAAAGGCAGCAAGAACACACAAATACCAGCGCTGAATTTTTCAACAAATATAATATTCTGTTACTAAGGTGTATGGAAGACACTGTCTTTAAAGGGACACTGAGCTCTCCAAAATATTTGTATGTTCCTGGATTGGACATGTAGGTCACAAAATAAAGTTTCTGCGAACAATTTCGTTAGCGCAATAATTAGGCTGTGAGGAACATCTTGAGCTAGGAGAAAAAACGAAATGAAGACCCATAACGAGAAATTTAATCCAGAATACAAGTTAGTTTCGGTTTTGTTCGCGTAAACATTATGCTACACACCGTTTTGTTTTGAGGATAAAAAGGTGACCTTCGCACACAACACCCTAGCATCCTCGTATAAGGGGGAATAATCTGTGTCGCACAGTGAAGCCAGCGCACTTTAAAGGCTCAGAAAAGCATCTCCGGCCCTCACTATAGCCACCATTTTGGAAAACGAGTGCGCGTCAGGCCCGACCCCCGACGGACCCGTCTTGCAGTGAAAACTGCCAGAAATTACTTTTCTTTCTACAAAGTGCCCCCGAAAAAAAAAAAAAAAAAGGTACGGTATTTTTTTTTTTTTTTTTCGCAGCAAAAGTAATTTACGCATTGCCGAACGCTCATTCTCTGTCAAAAAGTAGTGCTCGAGGTCCGAACCAGAGGCTCTGGAACCAGATGACAAAGTTTCAGAACAAAGCAATATCTTGTTCAAAAGTTAAGTGATTTTTTGACGGAGCTCTCGAATACATGAAGCTAGAGTTCCTGCATAAGCTTCTATACAGGAACTCTACATGAAGCTCTATGGCGCCTGGCACTGAAAACGGGCGAAAATGGGCCCCATCCCAGTGAAATTTCCAGAAAATAGCACAACTTCTGAATAACATATTGGTTTGGGCTGAAACATCTGGTTCGGAATAAACTATGCGTTCGGCGACGCATAGTTTATTTTTGCGGTGAAAAAAAACCTGTAAACTTTTTTTTTTTTTGGCGGGGGGGGGGGCACCTTGTGTATGGGTTAGATTAGGAAGAACAGATGAAGTGTTCATCAGGCCCCATGCGATTTCGGCACCATGGCGCCTATCTAAGCTGACCTAAACTACACGAGCACAGTAATAAAATAAAAACAAAGCATTTAATCACACTTATTATTTAATCGGGTCAATGTACATATAAACTGTATAATTTACACAAGGCACCTCGAGGCAAAGAGATTGGCACATAATATTTGGCGAGTCTGATAGTTGTATGTATGGCAACCACCATTCTTTGGCACATTCGAAAATACCTAAAGGTAAATATGCGTTTGTCTCTTATTGGCACCGTTTCCACAACAAAGCCAACACGGCATACACTCATTATCTGTGCACAGCCATATAGAGCCTTCGCATTGCAAATTATGACTTTGCAATCTGACAAAAGTTTGAACGCAATTACTATGAAGCAGACTTGAGCAAAAAGCGCAGACGTATTGTGAGGCACATCGTGAGGCCTGTCGGTATGACTAGAGGGGCTCGTAGCTGTCCATCGGCGGACAACTGCACATGAGATTGGTGTCGCCGTAGATGTCGTCGATGCGTCCCACCGTCGGCCACACCTTGGACTCCGGAGTCACGAATTTCTGCGGAAACGAAAAATCGCATTGCCAGAAATCTTACGAGCGTAACTGAAGGTGGAGCACCGGCCATCAGCGCTGAGACCATGCGGTGTGCAACGCCATGACCAGGAGTTGCCGTGACGTTACAAGTCGTGATACTGGCTACTTGTCATCGGATTCGAACAACAAGTTCGATGGTGTGACTAAAACGCATGACGGAAAGTTGGAGTCGTCGCATTCTAAGACCAACGCCATCAAAGTTGAGGATCGGTAATTACTCTTACTTCTGTCGATGAAAGCCAAATTAAGAACTAATAAAGACGTCGTAGCAGGCGTTTGGCCGATTGTGAATGCCAACCGTGGCAATCTCTCTTGGTTGCGCATGTCACCAATCGGTCAGTACTGCCGGCTCTTGTCTTGCAAATGAACCTAGGCAACTACACACAATCATTCTCCACCTTCGTTCAAAATTCGTCAAAGGTGCTAAGGTATACACCATGACGTAACGAGGCAATTCCTCCGTTAAATGTAGTGAGGTGATTGCAACGTCATACGATATAGTGTCGCATGACACTGTATCATGTGGTCACGTAACGTCACACGACTTCCCAATTTCCCCGCTAGATTTAGAGGCAAAATTTCTTCGCTAAATCTAGCAAGAGGACTTTTCCGCTAAATTCAACAGGGAAATGCTACGCGCAACATTGTAGTTTCACATGACACTGTAATTCCTCATTACATATTTAGCGGGCCACGCCACACACACTGGATTCCACGATGAAACATTACAAACAACAGCATTCACCGTAAAAAAGAAGGAAATGGTTTGTTTACCGCAGGAAACGCCGCCTGTTCTCGAGAGTATGGCCTGTCCCAGTCGTTGCCACACACCACCTTTTGGGGATGGGGCGACATCTGAAATTCGTCAAAATGACGACGAATAAATTTACTTCTCGCCAACACTGACGCTTGCGTTCGTGACCGCGCAAACACCCACCTTGAGAGGATTCACTTTGGCGTCCATCCTGCCTTCCTCGATCGCCCTGATCTCGTCCCGAATCACTGTTGACAAGGAAATGTGTATTAACTGCCCGAAACGACAAATATAGAAAGTTAATTGGGTGCAAGTCTAATCTAGGAGTGTATTGTGTGTACAAACTTCAAATGCTACTACTGTTAAAATGAGCACATTCGACGACGCCTACAAACCTCACCGTGCGCAATTGCAAGCTTAGTATACGCGCAGTGAGTAAAATACTGGATTGAAGGGAGTGAAACAACACAAACATCAGCAGGCAACAGCGATAATAACCGGAAATGGATTTGAAGTTTATTGCAGCTCGGAAAACAACTCTCCCTGCATCGCTGCACAAGTTGGGATGCAACAAATAACAAAATAGGAGAGCGGCAACTGCGAGTGGCATCTTGCAGTACTGTGTGTCGACATTGTGCATATTGTCGAGCGAGGAGGACAAAATATTCAATACATAAAACTAACCTCCTATATCGGCAAGGAGCATTTCGAGAACAAATATCTCCTCGCGCAGAAAAAGTGAGAGTTATATCTGCACATGAATTTGAAAAAACGGGCGTGTCTTGCGAAATTCTGAACGATTTCAAAATTGTTCACAACGAGATGCAGAGTTTTTCAGCAAACTCTGACACATAGAAAAGATTTTGTTTTATAAATACTAGCAGAAAAAGAGAAAGAAAGTTGACCATACACTATGTCAAAAGAAATGAAGTCATGTCCTAATTACCCCACCTTGTGCCTGAGTAGCTGTAGTTCAGCGATGAAATAGCCATATATTTGCTCTACTAACTTCGTTACTGCCAGTTGCACACGTTTTAATCCACTCATTCTATGCCCATAGGCTTAGATTCAAATGGAGAAGCTCCGTTTTTGATCCTAGACAATTCAGGTTAGAGTCTACAAACCAACGGAATGCGGTTAGCTTTTGACCACATGACAGTGTGACCCTTAAAACAATGATATGCACAAAGCCAACACACAAAGAAAAAAAAAAGTTATCTTTGATTGTAGACCATTTAAACTCGATTACAAACCAACAGAAAAAATTCCTAGCCATTGAACGGACGGGCCAGCGGCGTAGCAAGGGGGAGGGGGTAGCTGACGAAACTTCAACACCCCCCCCCCCCCCCCCTCCACACCCCAAGTCATGGCCAAACCAGTCACCCCAGGCCCACCCCGAAAAAAATTCCCGGCTAAGCCACTGGGATAGCGTGTGAACTTCCAGAACTATATACCATAATGTACGAGGCCACAATGACTGACAGAGGAAAAAAAAAAGGACAAAGAGAACAATGAAGAAGAACAAATCCTTACAAATGAGGGCGTCGCAGAACCGATCCAACTCCTGTTTGTCTTCCGACTCTGTTGGTTCCACCATAAGACACCCGCTGACAGGGAAGGACACCGTCGGTGCGTGGAACCCTGGGGGAACACCAGGAGTTACTCAGCCGCGACACAGACGCCCCATTCCCGACCGCCCGCTCGGGCACGAAGAGAACGCAAACACGACAGAGCCGCGGTGTCATATTTGTTGTGTGTGATTGAAACCTCTTTCATTCGAGAGGAAAAAAAGGCCAGATTCTCTGATTGAAAGGCCTAGCTAGCTGTGTGAGGCTCGTTTTATTATAGGGCTCTGCAGTCTGGAAGAAGTTCTGAAGAGAATGTACTAAGTCAGTGGTTCTCAACCACTGATGTTTCGCGAACCCCTTGTGGATAGGCGGAGATGATGGAAGACCCAATTCGTGGTGAGGGGAAGAAAAAGTTATTGGTTCAATATGATAATGATTTAATAAATGGATATAACTAAGGGCTAGTGTTAAGTAGGCTTTTTTTATTGACACATACACGTGAAAACTCATTCAAGAATTGGAATGTTTATTCTCAATCTGAAAAAAGACAACTTTTATTGCCGGGAGGCAGGGCTTCGCAGACCCCTAAGATGACTTCGCGGACCCCAAAAGGTCCGCGGACCCCCATTTAAGAACCACTGTACTAAGTGGTCATTACAGTTCATGATTGACGTTTTATAACTTGCAATGTTACGAAGACAAATATCTTGTTTCGATTTGTTCAGATTTCGTCAGTTCTTTCCTATGTGTATTGAAATATGACATTTATTATTTTGATAAAAAGATTGAAGTGTGCAACAGCCCATGACGAAGTAAATCAATCAATCAATCAATCATTTGGTTCATTGTTGAGCATTTTTTTATATCCATTTTCTGGCATTACATTAAGCATTGTTGGTGACAGATCAAGAAAGGTGTGAACATGGGCGAGTTAGTTGTATACTGTAGAGAATAAAAGTGCCAAAAAACATGCAGGACAAGTAGAAGGACGGCATACACCACAGAGCACTGAGAACTTGGACGAGTTGGTTGTACATTTTAGAGAATAATAAAAGCACCAAAAAACACAAAGGGCAAGTAGAAGGAAAACATGCATCACAGAGGCGCTCTGTGGTGTGCATCGCCCTTCCACCCGTCCTTCGTGTTTTTTGGTGCTTTTATTCCCTACAGCAGTGGTTCTCAAAACGGGGGTTCTGCAGACCCTTTGGAGACCCTGAAGGTCTTTTTAGAATCCCCGATGCCCTCGAATGTGAATCAAGCTAAGCAAAAGAACTTTTTGTTATTGATCCTGGAAAGCTAAATTGTAAATTGTAATTGATCCTGGTAAGCGATTGGCTTAGCATGTGTGCCAAATGACTAGGTTCGATCGTTGTCTGTTCAAGAGTCGCTTAAAAGTTGATTTTTGTCATTGTAATCATGAAATACCCCCTCTCCCTTCACTGCGGACGGGGTCCCCCATCACTTCTGCTGATCCAGAAGGGGTCGCAGAAACATTAGTGGCTGCAGACACTTGTTCATAGGAACATATACCTTCTTGAGAACAATATTACGCCCTTCCCCCGAATACAAACAAACAAAACAAAGACAAAGAAGAGCATATTTTTTTATGTTTTACGAATGGGGTTAGTTCAGAAACACACACTTTGAGGACCACATAAAATATTTGTAAGGTTAATGCTTAACACCAACTGAGACGCTCCCGACGTACCATAGTCCTGAAGCCTCTTTGCCACATCCATCGCTTCCACGCCCGTCGTCTTCTTGAAGTCTCGCATGTCCAAGATGAACTCGTGGGCCACAAATCCTGTTGGAACAAACCGGATAATCTCAAACGCGACAAATGGAGTCGTAAAATGTTGGAGAAACCGTCTCATCTCTGCAAGCATTCCTCGAGCCGCCGGTACGTTTCTCAGCTGCTTCAAACGAACACTATCTGGCGACATGTCCCCGAGTTCTTGGCACAGAATGAACCGTTAACGCCGTAAACTATTGCAGCATCCGCCAGACAAACCCCGCTTCGAGGCTGATCGGCGGCAGGTCCCCATTGGCAGCCGCGTGCATTGGTGCACCGCAGCTCGGAATTTGAGGAGTGCAATATTGCACTGCAGAACCCGAGATGCCAGGTTTGAATCCCCCTCCTGCCAGTTTTGATCTGGACGATCGTTGTAAGCCGTGAAGCGCGGTCGTGCTCGACTACCGCGTGATGCAAGTTAAAGAAGCCCCGGGGACAACAGCGGTACCATATGGTGTCTGAAACGCATCCTCGACTGGTCCTTTTACAATGTCCAAGAAATCAAACCCTCGATTTCCATCCGACAATGTCATAGAAGTGTCGCACCATCGCCAACTGCGATCCTGGCGGTGTCCCAGCGGTGGTGGTGGATGTAGCAGACACCTGTTCGCGGCGAGCCGTTCTCCGGCTCTCCTGACCGGGGAAGCTTCAACAACCGGCAGTTGGGACGCCACGACGATGGCGACACTCGCGTTTGCTCATGCTTTTTGCTGGAACTCCCACAACCGACCGCCAGGGTCCCGACGTCCGATGGCGTGACACTCCGTCGTTTGTTGCTGCTTCTGTACCACTTTCGATCCGTGGCGGGAATGGGACGCTAAACGCGCTGGCCGGAGACGTGTTTGAAGCACCGTAAAGGTACCGCATTGGCTAAATTTCTCGTCTACGGTGGAGACACCAGATGCGCATCGGGGCACCGACTGACTTCCCACCGGACAAACAGGCGTGCGACGCAATTACAATCGCTTGAATGCATAGGACGCGCAGCTTGCATTTTCACTATTTGAGAATTCCCGGTGCCGAGCAATGTCGTTTTGCAAGCAAAAAATAATAACCATGTGTAAAAAAAAAAAAAAAAAAAAAAAAAAGAAGTGCATACATAGACAAAAGAATCAACTAGGTCAGGTCATGTTCTTTTTGTATCTGACAGATTTCTGGTAGACCTACACTGAGAACATTGTAAGGCAACAGAAGCCTCACCAGGCTCTGACGGCCTCCCGTCCGAACAAAAACCTACTTAAAAAAAGCAATAAAAAAAAAAAAAAGAATTACGGCTCCAATTTTTATTTCACTGCAGCTCCAAACCTCAACCACTACAACATGCGCAGTTTGGCCCGTAAATTAACCGGCACGCGCGTTTCCTCTACGACTCACCGTTCTGGCCGAGGTAGAGCACCTTGTAGTGGGCGTCCAACCGCTTGCGCATGTAGTTGGCGTTGAGCATGGCCACCTCCGTGGCCCGGCGCAGCCCCCGGCTCCCCATCATCTTAATGTAGGCCCACGAGATGGGCAAGATGGCCGACGACCCCCAGGGGGCGGCGCAGACGGCCCCGAACGAGTGCCGGGGGTCTCCGCCCCGCGCCACGGAGGGATCCGCGACGGGGTGCGAGGGGAGGAAAGGGGCCAGGTGGGCCTTGCTGAAACGGAGTGCATGAAAACATAAAGTTAATACAAGTGATCTAGAGAACAAGGACGCGCACAGTTCGGCTGCCTCGTAATGGCGGGGCACAGACGCAGACTTCGGCAGTCCCGACGGGACATAATTTCCAGTGACGCTTTGATATACACAAAAGAGCAGGGAAACATCACTTGTTGTACCAAGTGCAACATCCAGAGAGATAGCCCACCATAAATCTAGAGCAAGTTGGGCGAAAATTTGGAGTGGGCCAACTTTTGATGCACAGCCAAAAAAAGTTGAAAAACATTTCAGTTTAGATTGCGAAACTTGCAAATGCAGGGAGAGCCGACGAACCAAAGACGACTGAGCTTTCCAGTGTCCACTTCAAACTTTCGAGCCCACCTACCTAATCGAGATGCCCCTCCTTGTCAGCAGCTTCTCCAAGCACCCCAATGAAAATTAGTGAAGCGCACGCGACGGGCGCCCATCCCCCAGTTTTTCGAGGTTATCTCGGTATTTTACAGTATTTATATAAAGAAGCACCCGTTGAGCTATAAGAGCGACTCTGAAATACGCTTCTGTTATGGACGTTGATCCCGTATCAGGAATATGATTTGGGATCACCCTAAGGAACTTCTAACTCAGTGTAAACCTTTCTTTTTAGAGCCTAAATAGGGCACAATACTCACTGCGCGAGACTAAATTTGACGTTCGTGTTTACAGAGTGTAAGGTCGGTCTGTCTCCAAGGTGCAGCAACACTGGGTTTTGCTGCAGACGAAAAATTTAGCGAGTGCAGTTTCACTGCAGGCCGGGGGTCTTTGAGACGTATCACACAGTAGTGACATGCGACCGCATGCCCGTATGAGGGTCATTCAGATCAAAATGGGCAGGAGTGGGTACTGAACCCAGGATACGTGCGAGCTTTTGCTCCACGTGCTCCGAGCCGTGGTGTCCCAACAAACTTGGCCATCGATTGCCTGGCTGCTAGACTCGTCAGGCAATGAGCGTACCTTGCCGGCTTTCGGCTTTGGATCGCCGTAGAGTTTCTTGGAAGCAATCGCGAGAAAGGGAGGATGCGCGCGACTCACACTCCGATGGGTCCCATGCCGGGTCCGCCCCCTCCGTGGGGGATGCAGAAGGTCTTGTGCAGGTTCAGGTGGGAGACGTCCGATCCGTAGTCGCCCGGCCTGCAGATCCCCACCTGGGCGTTCATGTTGGCTCCATCCAGGTAGACCTGGGCTCCTGCCCCGTGGACTAGGTCGCAAACGTCCCTGTCCAAACGCGCAAAAATAAGAATCCGTAATCATAGGACGCAACATTGGTCTCATCGTCGAAACATGGGAGAAACGCCGTACGACGAAGTTTGTTCACATTGTGAAAAGATGGGATGAAGGCCGCAATTATGGCATAGGCCTGGTATTGCCGTAAAAAGACAGGAGAAAGGCCGCAATAATAAGAATAATATAATTATTATTGTTATTATTAATAATAATAATAATAATTTTTTATGAAGTTTTCTATGCCCAAGAACAACCATTAGGTCTTCACTTCGGTACACAAACGGTGGATAAAAAACACAAAGCAACAAAAAAAGGGAAACCAATTTAAAATAAATACACAAAACCTAATAAAATCTAAACAAGCACAGAGACCATAGGGTAGTCAAAAAGCCCTCAAACTTTCTTCTAAAAAATATTGAAGTCGCAAAATATATCAATACCTGTACTATCCAAGCAATTAAAAAGGGATTGCATGCGGGTTAAAGGCGAGAAAAAACTCGCCACATCAACATAAAACGGGTAAACATATAACACAAGTTTGGCATTTCCTTCAGAAGACAGGTGAAAGGCCTTAAGTTTGATGAAAGTTTGATTCGGCCTTGCTGTCAGAGACTGAAGGAAGGCTGTAAGTATGAGGCAAGTCTGGTCCCGCCGTCAAATTGAGAAATGCACACCTGATTGTTTCCTCGTAAATGCCATTGGTGGATGGGTAGGTGATCATGATGCAGGCCACCTTGTCAGCATGCTGGTCCAGCTGGAAGTGACGGAAATAAATTTGTTGTACTTGGGTAGTCCAACGACCTTCTGTATCTCTTTCAAAGTATCACTTTTAAAAGTAGAAATGACTCGACGGCAAAAATAACAGCAACCATTGCCGATGTGTTCATTAAATTGTTCATTAACCTCTCTGCCTTTAGACGCGCCTCTATTTTGACCTTGAAATGGGCAGCACAACAAAAGATGCGCGACACTTCTCTGGAACGGAGGGAGCGCACCGTGAAATGGATAACAATTTTTGACGGAGACTATAGCTGCTGCCATCTATCGAACATGACACCAAACATGTTATGGTTCATTTTTGTTAACTGGTTGGCGAAATAATTTAATTGCTTAGATAGAAAATATCTGCTCTTTTTCTCATTCTCTATAATAGATGCTCAGAAGTGGCACAAAGCTTTGACAGACGTGCTAATCGCGGTGTTGCTTCAGCAACATGTCCACAATGACTTGGACATGAGTACATGTTCAGTGACTGCAAAACCTCGAGAGTCTTCATGAGCCAAGCCTGAAAATATATTTTTCTTCAAACCCACTTATGAAAACGCTAGTATTTAAAACCGACAATACAAAATCAAACATATAAAAATAAAAAGCGTCTTCCATTCTCTGTTTATCAACACAAGAAGAAGCGATGTGTTAATCCTTCACATTAAAAAAAAAAAAAGTTAATATTTTAGTACAAGAACAGTTTTCAAGATTTCTGAGAGAAAAAAACTCTCCAAGGCATGGTCACACGCTCAAAAATTACTCCCCACCTATGGGATTAAGAAAGAAAGTGAGGAAAAAAGATGTATGTAGAAAAAGACAATGAAAGAAATAGAAAGAGACAAAGACATGTAGAAAAAAATAGTGAAGAATAGAAAGATGCTTACTTATTTGTGACACTGCATTTCTTTTTGTGGGAGTCGAAAAATAGTAAAATAACACAGGCAATTAACAAAAAAAAAGCCAACTATTTCAGCAATATGAGCAGAATAGGTATGAATGGCTTTTTTGGCTAAACATCACACACATTTTAGAAAGCACTCGTAAAGGTCACCACAATAAGACTACAATATACAAAAAAAAAAGAAAACGAGAATACAAATATATATAAAAAGAAACAAAAAGAGGCGCAAAAATAGGAGTAGTAAGAGAAATTTAAAAAATAGAAAGAGATAAGTAAAGAGAAATCAAGATAGATTATTACGAGGCAATAAAGTCAGAGAGCGACAACAACAAAGAAACAAAAGGAAGAAACGCTTCTTTGTTTCTGTTTTTTCCTGTTCAAGCCACTAACACCCCTAGCGACATAAATTAATGTGAGGAATGTCAGAAGGATTGAAAAATAATAGTCCTCGATGTGTACAACCAAAGGTATACCCGATTTAAAGCCAATAAAACTAAACTGAAACAACAAAACAATAACACTAAAATGGCCCCGTCCACACACCTTTGCCTTCAGGTGTGCCACGTCAATGCTCCCGTCCTTGGCCATGTTGATCGGGTCAACGGCCATTCCCGCCATGTGGGCGCTCGCCGGGTTGGTGCCGTGCGCCGACATGGGGATCAGGCACACCTGCGGTGCCGTTCACACGTTTACGACAGGCGGCACTTCACCGGGATCCGACACGAATGTGAAAGACGCAGTTCGCACGACGGGCTTAAGACGGTTACTGCACCTTTCTGTGCTTCTCTCCCCTGGCATCGAAGTATGACGAGATTGCTCGGAGTCCAGCGTATTCCCCTTGCGCTCCACTGTGGAAAAAAATCCGCAAATGACTTGTTGGAAAATCTGGACGGCACGATTTACAGGGCAACACTTTGTGCATGCAGGGGTGTTGAAGTCGAACGGCTGACGTTACTCTCGTGAAAAAAGTCCAATGTGTGTCTGTCGTCGCTACTTTTTATGTTTTCCTTTTCATTTTAATGATCCCCTTAAAGGGGCCCTGCGATGACATTTTTACTGGTTTTTAATTTCCAGCGAATCTGAGTGCACTGAACGTAGCAACTGAGTGAAACTTTTCTTTTCTTGAAATTCGCTTTATTTTAAAAGTTATAGACAAACTAAGATTACAAAAACAAGCAAGAAATAACCTCCCTCATGATGTCCTTGGTTGCTTGAGTGGCCGTGAACTAGAGGAGGGGTAGTGAGCTTAGCGAGCGCTCATGGCTGCCGCACTCCGTGTTGACGGCGCGAGGGGGCGCACTAAAGCATATTCTGGATAGGTTGTATGCAACGGGCAGCCAGAGCGACTCTCATTGCATTTGCTGCGCGATTAAACACTAATTCGGCATGACACTTCATTGGCCACAAACGACAGCAAACATGGGGTAAAGATCAGCTCAGAATGGGAGCCACTTCGCGCTGTCATACCGCAAAATGGCCGAACCGCAAGACAAAGCTTCTCGCCAAAGGCCTTCGGAACGCTTGGAGCCGGTCGGATCCTCTTGTTAATACGACCGCAGCGCCGCCGCATACATCCGGGACCTTTCCGTGTCGGCGCCTGATCCCATTACTCCTTTCTAGTGTGCGCCGCCTTTCCCACCGTTGGTGGCAGGTGTGTCGACAGGTCATTTCTTTTTTCCATACTTTATAAACTGCATTCGGTTCTTTTCTGATCTAAAATACTGAACAAAAAGTACTTTTATTAATAATTAAAACAGTTGGCGCCACTTATATTTTGTATTTCAACTAAAAGGAAGCTTTTAGCGGCTCTGACCAGTAGCAAGCCCAGGACCAAACACGTTACATTTTGCACGCTTTCAGTACCGCGGGTCGCCCTCGTCGGAGGAGGAAGTTTCCGCGTCTTCCGGTTAAAATATGACGCACTGATATTCAGTTACTCTCTCCGTGCCCGCTGGCTTGCCCGAACCCCAAGAGACGTGGAAAGCGCAAAAAAGGTAGATGCTTAAATATGATTGCAGGGCCCCTTTAACAACCTGCACATGCAAAACTGGAAAAGATAAGTCTTACTTCAGACAGATTGTTCAAAGTAAGACATATTGTCCGTGTTAATATTCAAAAAATATCTGAGGCTTTCTTTACTTTGTGCACTTGATCAACCCATTTATATGGTAGCAAACACAAACAAGAGACCGAAATCAGGAGTAGGACTGTTGCGATGGTGCAAATATGCATCTACACAAGATTTCTTACACACAAACATATGCTGCGGTACATTGTTGCGAATAACTTATTTTTTCCCATAAACTGCAGATCTGAAATGCATACTACATCACCACCCAGCTCATAATTTAAAAAGGGGGCTCGGAAGTCTCTAATAATTGGCAGCCGACGTTCTGCAAAAATATTCCTTTCCTACGACCACCTGCATGCTTTTTAGGAACTGAGACTACAAAAATGCATTAAAACTAACAACACAAGTTTGCGAAATAATAGATAACTGGATATGACAATATTCACAAGATGCACCCCATGACTGCAAGATGCAATTCTTTATTGAAGAAAAAATGTGGAAGCGAGAAATGAAGTGTCTCATGTCCCCGCTGTTGGCGAACGTTCAAGGAAGGAACGGACCAGAAGTTACGAAGAATGGAAGCGATGCACATGCTCACCTGTTCGGCTGTAGACACACTCTGTCGTAGCCCGTAATTTCACACAAGTCTTGCTCAAGCTCCTCGAAAAGCCGTGCATAGCCTCGGGCTTGATCCGGCGGGACAAATGGATGGAGGTTTGCAAAGTTGGGTAAGGATGATGGCTGACAAATAAAAAAAAAGGCCAAAATTTTCATTAGTTCCCAGCAGCTGTCGATCCACGACCGTTATAGAATGCGGACCCAGAAAGCAATGCGGTTAGCGTCATTCAAGGTAACACTAACCTCTCAAGCAACAGAACCTGTACTACTTTCACCCCTGAGCTGGCAGTACAGTGAAAGCTAAGAGCCCAAAGGACCGGTTGTGTACTAATCTTTCGCCACATGATCATCCCACCGACATCCACAGGTGGAGAGCAAAGAAAGGTGACGAAAAGGAGGCGGCCGATTGCTTGGGCGAGCATGTGACCCCCACCGCGCTTTCAGCTTGGGGCGAATGGAGAAGAGCCACACACACTGATCAGCGAGAAAGAATATGACCTCAAAGAAGCAAACCTAAATGACAAGTCAAATGACCTCTGCTAACCATGACCTAATTAATGCGACATTGACCTTATTAGCCTGGCCTTGACCTAGCTTTTATTGACTCAAATGCGTGACTGGGCAGTTTTACAGCAGCAGTGGATGAAGCAGCTGTCAAGGCTGTTACAATCTGTGGCATTCATTCGTAAAAGGGGCCAGTTACGCTCCAGCGCACGCATTGTTACACAACGCTTAACCATATTTCCTGTCAGTTTGAAAACAAGGACCGAGAAAATGTCGTACCATCATCTCTGTGGTGCTGTTCAGCTTCATTGTGCAAGACCCCTGCAAAATGGAGAAAAAAGAATTATACAAAGGTTTCAGGCAAAGAAAGTTCTCCGACAAGACGCAACTGTCATGTTCACGTTCCAAACAAAGCAAGTGAAACATATGCGATGCATGTTTGCTAATCTGTGAAAGCTGCAATAAACTGCCGGATTCCTCAAGAATGGTAAAGTTTTTGTCAGGGTATCAAACTGATCCTAAACCCAAACCAAAAACTGGGTCAAAACCACCCAAAAACCGGAACAAAATACAAAGCTACTGAACTCGAACTGAACTGAAATATTTACCGGTTCGGCAGATACCTTGGTGTTGTACCATATAGTAGTACCAAAAATGTCAAAAACTGAAAGAAATCTGTCCTATCAACAAGCCTTGGGAAGACACGATCGTAAAGCAAGTCAACCGAGCAGAGCAGGTCCTCACCAGGGGAATCATGGAGTGGACGAGCGAGACGTCCTTGTTCTCAAGCTGCTTCATGTATCGCACAATCTGGGTCTCAGAGTGGTACCTGAAGAAGGGAACGGTGACAAAAATCAAGACTCTTAAGGCCTTCGAGTAAAGAGAGGAAAAAAGGACCCACGTGTTGAACACCGCATGCTGAAGGAAGCTGCTGGTTCGCTTGTGCTTGCTCCGAAGAATGCTCCTGTTCGGCTGATCGCCCAGCTCCTCAGCTAGGTCGGCCTGTGCCCGAATAAAGAAGATTAGCCGGGCATAGATGCCAAAAGTGCGGGTCGAGACCATGATCAGGAGTGTGCAACATAAGTAACGAAGTTTCTTTTTTTTTTTTTTTTTTAAATACCAACTTTAGCTTGATGGAGGCCCGAAATAAGAATTGGAAAATTCCTCGCTAAGCAGCTTAGTCCATATGTCTTTGTAAAAACGGGAAAACGAAAATCACTGTGGGGCAAATGGGAAGTATGGTTTTACGAAAGCAAAGAATCAGAGAAGATACAGTGCAACCCACTTACAATTATACCACATAACCCGATGTACCACGTTTAACGATCACTTTATAAGAGTTTCTAGACTAGAAACAATCAGTTTGCAGTTCATATACAACAATAATCAGCTATCAGGAGTGAATTTTTAGGTTTTCTCATTATCGTTACAAGTGCATGGGTTGCACTGTGGTAGGCCTTGCCGGTTATTTCACCATTTTGTAGATTGAATGTCTCAGTGACACAAAGCAGCGTCTTCCTGCTTTGACCCGGTGGTTTAACGGCAACCAAAAATCCATCGATGGTTCAGAATGAAATTTTCCAAAGCTAGAACAATGGCTCAACAGCACTGTCTACATTACCGTTAGCGACATTCCGGCATAACAGTTCCTTTTGCTCGACGCACTTGTCATTGTCAATGCGAGCGAGGTTACGCGAGTGCTAATAACGTGGCATCCCCAGGAACGTACGCAGATTTAAGTGACGAGTCGCACAAACTCACCGACTTTTGCTGGCACCCAAAAACCCAAAGGAGGTCGTCCAAGTCCCTTTCTGTGACTGTCTCGTCCAGCGAAACGCCGACCTGCATTCAAAACTTTACGCAAGCCGATCGAAAACCCCGAAGCTTGGTAGGAAACGAGAAAAACCATTTACCAAGTAATTAAAAAAAAAAAAAAAAATTGGCAATCCTGTTTTTTTTATATATATATATATTTTTTGGTTAGGTGGTTCTTTATTGAGACCACCTAGCTGACCGAGGCGTTGGGAAAAAAATAAAGCGCGCTTATATCAATTAATATTTCTTCAGCTAGATTCGGTGTTGGTGCCACTGCCACTGGCAATACTAATTTTTCCCGATGCAAAATTTGCACACATGTATGGCTTCGATAAACCTTAATACCTAAAAAATGAACTCCTGGAGGTAGCCGCTGGGAAGCACATATTCATCATGGTGTAATACGCCAAAACAACAAGGACGAAAAGGAAGGGAGAACTGGACAGGACGTGGCGTCCTGTCCAGTTCTCCCTTCGTGTTCATCCTTGCTGGTTTGGCGTATTACACCATGACGCAAAACCAACTAGCCCAACTAGCCACCCTTATCCAGCACATATTCATACCATCCCATTCCATGCTGCCCCGTGGCTGCACGAGATGGAGTGGTAAAGGATGTAATAGGGAAGTTTTAACTGACCCTCTCCCCAATTTTATGCAATCTTTATGGTCCATAGCTTTCACTGTTACCAAAACACAACCTCTCCCTCCTTTAAAACAGATATAGTATGGCCAAAACTGGAAACCAATACAGAGGCTTTTGTGGTGACCTGAAAGTCCAATGACATCACCCCCTGAACCGTGAGGAGATAAGGGGTAAGACCCCTTTTGTCAATGATCCAAGATTTGAAAGATAACTGTGGTGGCATTTTCCCGGGACCATCTACCCTGTGCGCTGATCAGACTTAACTGTAAAATACTGTCTTTATTTCATTTTTTTTTTTAGGGGAGAAAATTGGCACATAAAAATTCTGAGTTTATCGGATAGATCCAAATTGACCAAAATTTTACCGGCGGGTGTTTTTTTGAGTTTTTCGGATTTATCCGAAAACATGAAACCTTATAGTCCGAGACAGATCAAGAACAAAGTGGAAGCTCCACCCACCTCTTTCCACTTTAGTAGAGTGAACGCTGGAGAGGAGGCGACCTCCTCTCCACCGTTCGCTCCGCTCAAGTGGAAAAAGGTGGGAGGAGCTTCCACTTCGTTCTTGGCCTCTCACCGACTATAGTTATGGCGTAATAAATTTAGTTACAAGTCTAGCTTTCCTCGTTGTAGAGGCTACTCGGCTAATCCTATGCCGTATAATAATTACTAAACAAACAGTTTCACTAGGAATTGCGGTAACCAACTCGTGAGCATACATCCACACGTTCACAAACAAGTACAGGGTGTGATTTAGTTGATAACAGACAGCTCAAAATTCTCTCAACTTCAGCCTGGTTCCAGTTTACTAGTAGTCTTTTTCACCGTCATTGTTGGATACCCTTTACCCAAGTATGCGCAGGTGCGGCTGGGTAGCGGTCGCTCACCGTTCCGTCCTCGAAGTACCTCAGATTTATCCTCTTCTCCGTCGCCCTGTCCCTGATGGCCTGCAGGGAGCTGGCCGGAGAAACCTTCAGGGTGTCGAAGAAGTCGGGGTGGATCACGCCGTGGCCTCCCTTCGCGACACCTACACGTGCCAACATGTCTCCAAGTTAGCGTACTACTGAGGTGCACAAGTATTTCCTCCCCAGAGTCAGACAGAAATTTTGTCCCAAGCCAGACAATGCGCCCCCCAAAACGGGTCACACTAAAGGCCCGTTCACATATATGCAACCGAGTAAGATCGAGAGAGACCAGACCGGTTTTTAAGCCTCTTGCGACGTCTTAGGACTGGATGCGCTGCAGCGGAACTGGTCCTAAGACGTCGCAAGAGGCTTAAGCCGGTCTGGACTCTCTCGGTCTCTCTCTGTCTTACTCGGTTGCATATGTGTGAACGGCGCTTAATGCTCATGTAGATTCAATGTGGCTAGAATCCTATTACTGACCAAAATAGCCGTCCCTAGTGGAGATGCAAGACACTGTCTTGGGGCATACTTAACTACTCAGTGCACGAATATCAATATACGGATCATACAAATGAAATAGAATGAGAATGAAAGGGTGTAAAACCAATGGGTTGAGTAAAGATAAATCGTTAAAAAATCTGAAATGTATGCAGCTTATTTTCTCCCACAGTAATGAATTATGCCAGTCTACGACATCCCCGGCTAAACTAATCATCAATCTCTTAGACTCTCAACCTGCGACATACTAGCATGCAGGGACCTTATGGTATCATAGTCTCCTGAGCCCTCATAAGCATACAACAGTAAAAGTAGCAGTATGAACAACGCTACTGTTTCACCACTATACTAGAATAAAATAACTAAAGGTTCAATTCTAAACTAAATCTCCAATTCAAACAAAAGATCCTAAACCAGGTTACCTGGTTACAAACTGGCATGAGGATGAGACATAGCCAAACACAGGCAAACTAATTAAAGATGTACAGCATGTCCCTCCCCCCTCCCCAAAAATATTTTTAGTGTTTTCTCAACTGCAAAAATAAACTATGCATCGCTAAATGCTTGTTGATCACTCAAATGTTGCACTATAGGCCCAAACCAGATGCCGAAGTCTCAGAACTAACTGTTATCTCATTAAAAAATTTTAAGGGATTTTTTTCTAAAAAATTTCAATGCGAAAATGGGGCCTGTTTTCAGCCAATGGCATAATTCAGCTCCATGTATTCAAGAGGTCAGTCTGCTGCCAGGGACGGCGCCAAGGGGATGCGAGGGGTGGCGGGCGCCTCCCCTAAAATTTCATCTGCCACCCCAAGATGAAGCAGCTTTGTACACAAATAATTGCCTACGACGTCGGCTTGAAGACCCAGTGCAACGAGTGTCCAGACTTTAGAGCCGTTCATGCGTTTTATTTTTTTTTTTTTTCTATTAACTTCCAGCCACTGGAAGTCGTACCGCGGGTAGGGTGCCTTCATGTCTCCCTAACCGCGGGCGAGTAAGCTATCAAGCGCTTTAGAAAAAGCAGCTTCCCTTTGTGACGCCTGCTGGCTTTTCTCTGTATTCCGCTCTGTGGTGCTTATCTTCAGCGGAGACCGGAGACGTGAACGAAGGGGAGCTTAGTTAAAGTCGAGGTCATGGGGAATTCCGGACTGTCTCAAAAAGGGAAGCAAAACCTGGTTGTGAGGCTGAGCACAGGGGGCAGAGGTCCCTGCTGTGATCCCCCCCCCCCCCCCCCCCCGCCCCTGTTTTCCTCCTCGTGTCTCCGCATTTCCCTTTTCAATGAGCACACCGCATAAGCTATCTTGCATAAGCCCGTGGGCGACAGCACCTCAAAGCAACCGCCCCTCCCCCTCCCCCCCCCCTTCCCCCCCCAATTTGGTTCGCCTCCCCACTGCCCCCCCATTATGAAAATCCTGGCGCCGTCCCTGTCTGCTGCCATTTTCTGGCAGCGTGCGTCGCAGCTGCCAGGCGAGGAGAGGACTTTATCTGCATTATAATAACTCTATGCCGTGCCTTACACCAACCTGTTGCGAGGAGGAGTGTCGAGTGGTGCACCCTGGTGGCAATGTCGCGCACTCCGTCGGGGCCATGGTAGACGGCGTACAGGGCAGACATGTTTGCGAGCAGGGCCTGCGCCGTGCAGATGTTGCTGGTCGCCTTGTCCCTCCGGATGTGCTGCTCCCGCGTCTGCAACGCCAACCGGTAGGCTTTCCCACCCTCGGCGTCCCTAAAAGGTCAGCAGTGAACACAAAGAACATAAGGAAAGCACAGGTAAGCGACCGTAATGGTTGTGCTACGGTGCTGGCAATGATGCAGTCGGCTGGCACGAGAGACAGGCGTGCGTACAGAACAGCACGGGACATGGGGTGTGGAGACTGGACTGCCCGGTGGCTGATTCGAGCGATGGCCTCAACGGTTTCCTTTCTTTCGTAAATTGTGTACGTAAAATATGTTGAGCACAACCTTATTTGCCTCCACACTAGTAACAGTACTATACTGCTTGGTAAAGCAGTCCACACATTCTTGCAAATCGGATGGCAAGAGGCCAACATGAAACTTTCAAGCACCGGAAAAAAGCCGGTGCTTGAAAGAAAGAGATCCATGGAGTGTCCCTGTAATGGTGCCCTAGTGACTCAACTTTCGAGAGAAAAGGCAAACACGAGAAAATATACTTTGATAAAAGGACGAGATTCTTTACTATGGTAGATAAATGAATCACGCAGGCAGGCAAACAAGCATTCTTGGGCAAGTGTATCTTAAAAGCAATTTGTTACAACAAATTACTTAGTTAGTTCCCAAGCGTAACAAAAAGAGCAATGCATTATAAGTAACGGTTCCTCTCGAAAAATAAAAAAATTAACTTTTCAGTTAGTGGCCACCAAACTGCACCAGTAATTACAATTTGGTGCCACCGTGGCCGGGCATAAAATTACATAATCACAACTTGGTGTTCAGCAAGTGCAGACTCAAGTGTGCGAGCGCACCCAGCTTTCGGAACGAACAAAGAGTGGTTTGATTGTGTCAGTTCACTGTAATCTTAATTGAAAAGAAACTTTGGGCGGTTAAAACTGTGTGGAATTAACTTCCTCATAACCGTGGGAGGAGTTAAATAAACTACAGTTAAAAGTATGCTTTCCAAAAAAGCAACATGTTACAGTAAGCAGTTAAGAAAGAGGATGTAAGTTATACCCAGGAATGCGTTACTAGCACGCAGTGTGAAAATAAAGCTTTGCCATGCACACTTCACGGACCTGGTGACTCCCACCACCCTGCCGGGCATGAGTCGCATGAGGGAGTTGCGTGTGGCGAAGAAGGCGGCGTGCGGGCCGCCGTAGTTGAGCGGGATCCCCAGACGCTGGCTGGTGCCCACGGCAATGTCAGCGCCAAACTCCCCGGGCGGCTTCAGCACCGTCAGCGCCAGCAGGTCGGTCGCACACACTGCCAGAGCCTGCGAGACGAACGCAGCTGAAACAACTCGATTCCTTGTCAACAGCACTAACCATGAGAATAAAACGGCCTAGCCTAGAGATTTGGTCAAATGCACCGAAGGTGCGATAGCACTCAATGAGGTTTCCGATGGAAAAGAGATGCCATGTGGCATCGATTTCCCAGCTAGACTTGGCTGAAAATTGATGTCACACAACCTGAGGTCACATGACGTAATCATGTGACACACTGTCACGTGACCTGACATCACATATGACCTCAGGCCAGGCGACATTGTGATACGTTGTAACACACAGCACCATGATATCACGTGACATTGTTGCATCATACGGTCAAACTAACACGACCAAGAAAGGCCTGTGAAGGGCTCCTGGCTAAAGCCTGTTGCTTTAAAACTTTCATACGCCACCTCTTTTTACCAAACAGGTATCTATATCGCGGCGGTCTATGCCAAGGGTGGCCAGATGAACGTATGCGAAGATCCATAAAAACTAACCATTTTAAGTGATGAGCAATTAGCTCGAGTGACATTGAAGCAGCTCCGATCAGCTGGTTTAGGTGTTTGTCAGTCAAGGTTTCTTGCCGTCTTGATCTTACCTCCTAAAGGAGAGTGCCTCACAGCAGTACGTTAACCCAAATATAGAGATAAATTTCTGGCCAACAAGCCATGGTGCTACAAGGCTGCCAAAACTCAAGCTATAATTTATTCTATATTTCTTTAGCCTGCTCGAGTGTCACAAGCTTACTACCACTTAAATGCTAAGTCGTGACAAGCTTCGGAATTCATTATAGAGGGGCCCGACGCCTGTATTGACCATCGGAAACAGCAAGACTAAAAATGAAAAAAAAAAAAAAAAAAAAAAAAAAACTGAGCATCGGTTTGACCATGCCTGGTCTACACAGTGAACAAGCTGTTGGTCAGCATGTAGACGGTCACAGCGATGTTGAGCTCCAATTGGAGTTTTTAGGCCTTTCGAGAGGGAACACCGTGTGTGCACAGCTTTGATAGGCGGTCAAGGTGCATGAGCGAACAGTTACACATAGCTTTGACCTTATTGCCAAAAAAAATTGTCTCCAAGTACAGTCATGGTTACGGCTACACCTAGCCTTTACTGCGGCTATTCGGTTCTTTACGAACGAGGACTGCATCTATGAGAAAGGGGAGAGGGTATACCTCGAAGAGTAAGTTGTTTTTGTCGACTAGTGAAAATCGGAGGCTCTACAGTAAACAAACAACCGATGGCCGAGTTGTCGTATAACTATTCTAAGGACGTGTCTGCTGGGGCGGAGCTAGTCTGAACACGTAATCAATCCTTCTTACTCTTTTCACACCTCCTCTCGCGCACGAGGAGGTGCAGTTTGATTTACTTACTCACCGTACGTGCACTCCTGTGTCGACACATACCAGTTTAGCTGATACATGCCTTATTGTATAGAGAAATAAAAAATATGCATCCTCACCTTTAGTATGATTTAATACAAATGATCTTACAACATCCTAATACCTCTCAAATGTACACTAAGCGCTGGACAAAAATCTAAATTCTGATAAAACGCTTTCAAGAAAGTTGTGACTATAGTTTGTCGCAAGATAAGAATAGCAGCATAAGCTCCTCCCCCAAAGCCTTTCACCCTTTCCCCTCTAGCAGAGCAACTGCTCAAGACGAGGCAAGGGGAGTGGAGGAAAGCCTCAATCATGAATACCAGAGAGCTTTCTGGCAGGGTGAGCTTCTCTTCAGCTTCTTATGCAACAGACTACGAGCGAAACGCTTTTGGAGGACAAGGTATCTTGCCTTTGCATCGTGGCACGCCTGGACCAGCTCCGAGAAGTCTTGGACAGATCCTTCGGTGTCCGGGTATTGGAAGAGCGCCCCGCAGAAGTCCTTCTTGGAAAAGTCCATCGAGGCGCAGTCCGACACAACCACCTCAATCCCCAAGGCGCTGTGGCACAAGAGGTTCGGTAGTCAGCTCGCGCGACACAGCTATCATTCAAGGGCGAGCTTCCCAAACTAGCGAAAATCAGTTAGAGAACCTCTGACAAGATATTAATGCATACTTAAAGGGGCAACGCAGGTTCTAGAGCTTTTCTTAAAGCATGAAATGCTTTTTAACGCCACTCCAATCCCGAAATCTTGCCTGTCTGTGCATGTGTTATCTGTTAAATTTAGTAGAAAAATCGATGTCATGTGACCTTGCACCAATTCAGTTTCCCCGCTACATTTGGTGGGAAAATTGACATCACGTGACCCGACGGCACGTGACCTATACGATAATTCAGCTTTTCCACTAAATCTGTTGGGGAAATTGGGGAAATTGATGCGAAGCTCTAAACAAGTCAGAACAATCGTTTTTTAATTACTGCATTTCATGAATTATGGGACCTTGGAAGGTAAAGGTGCTGCCAATTTTAATATAACTTGTGATCCAGTTCGAATGAAATGTATGTTGCTTATCTGCCTTTACAATCTGACTACAAATATGCGCTTCGTTTCATTATAGCTTAATTAGGTATTTTTGTTAATATCGAAAGCTTTATTTGCAAAGACTATGGGAAGGATGAAGATAAACTGAAATACCGAAATCACAGAAGAAACATGTCAGTAAACTGAAAGGTTTGTGGAATCCAGTAAGGTATAAATGAAAGCTCTAGGATGATTCATAAAGTTTTTATGACTCTTAATCTGAACTTTCCAGTTTCAAAATTATTTATTGCAAGAAGTATAAAAGGCATCTAAAAACACCTGATGCCATATTTACACCCCTTACTGGATACCTTGCACATACACCTGCCATAGAAAGAAAACAATTATGAAGATTGGATGTGGACAGGTGGGGATTTGGCTTCCATAAAATAGCAAAGTGTATAAAAAAAATATTTATGAAATATTTGCAAGAAACAAAAAGCCAAAACAGACCCATTTTATTGTGCTTAAAATGAACATTTCAAGATAAAAAAAAGACTCATTTCACGAAAATACTTCAGTACAAGATCATAACTGCCTGACGATCTTCAAAAACACAATTTAAAGTATGTGTTTTTTGTTTTGTATTTGTTGCCTTAAAGAGCAGTGTTTACCCTAAGAGCTTTGAGTTGCACAAAATTTTTGCTATTAGAAATCATACTTCTTTAAAACTGCCTGCTCTGGTCTGCCATTCCATCTCTTCCCAAGTTACGTGCAAGGACAACACAGGACTCGAAATATCGAAGCATTTTCAAAGTACTATGTAAAGCAATAAGCTTTCTGGCACATATTCATATAAAGAAATAATAGACGTCATAAGCAAAGCATGGTCAATGGGCACGAAACAAAACCTATGCAACTTTTCGAGTTGTCAACCGTACGTTCCTCTCTGCTGACCCCGTCTTAGGTCCAACTTCGTATCCACCAATATGTGAAGTTATCGTAAAAAAATTAACTGGGTGATGTCAAGGCAACAAACTCTCGTCCTTCGTACAAAAAAAAAAGGAAAAAAAAAAGAAAGATGTTTTCTTGGGGTATTGAGTCCTTATGCAGCTCACTGGCTGAAACGTTCACGCTTCACACGTTTCCGGCACACCAGTGTCAAACGTTCACAGACCAAAAACCAACCGAGAGGCAACTCACTCTGCCCTTGTCTGGACAACGGCGAGCGTCTGGGGATGAACCTTGTCCGAAACGTAGAACCTCTTCCTCTTGGTGTGCCTGAAAGTCGGCAGGGTGGGACACAATGCGACGGTATTAGAGCACGCTTGCGAAAAAGAGAGACACTGAGTAAAGTTCAGAAAGGCTAGTTCACACGTGTGCATTGGGACCAAGTGAACTGAAGCCGCTTACAATGGCATACAACGAGAGAACACGCCGGCTATATGGTGTAGTCGTCTACCAGGTAGACCCGAAAGTCTTCCGATCTGATGGTGGCGATTACGCATTTAAAAATTGTCTGCCCAAACGCACAGCCGCAGGAGGTGTTGCATTTTGTCGAGTCACTGTCGAACTGTAAATGTTATATTCGTACGGTGTTTTGCTTTGCCGGGGGGGTAGTTTTAGCCTTGAAATTAGACGCCTCGTGCACATGAAACAAGCCAAACGGTCGCTTCGCATGTCGGCTGCTCTGGCTGTAGTGGCGATCGGAGCACCAACCTCTTTCGATTTATACTTTTAGCGCTTCTCGAAATTTACTTCAGACAATGAGAGCTTACTCTTCGATGAAGAAGCTCTGGAAAGTACCTCTGTTTCGAAATCTGAAGCTAATGAAAAGTCGTGGAAGCGAACCTGCCGAAATAAAATGAAATGAAACCTTCCATATTTCCGTTCGATGCTTTTAAACTTGCAAGCACCGTACATGCTCTCACTAAATAATTAAGAAAAAAAAAATAAATAAACCCCAGCGTATTGATCTTCTTTTTGTGCTATTCTTTTCAAGACGAAGCCTGATCCCTGGGAAACATCTTTTGGGGAAAATACTCAACGTCAAAGTTTTAAGGAATCAAATGAATGCACTATCTATGAGAAATGATTGCTTATAACGAGGGTTCTGGGATTTCTGTAAATATTGATTACCCCCAAGTGCATTTATAAAAATCAAGGAAAATCGAAAAAAAAAAAGCTCGAATTGGAGATGCCCTTGAATAAGAAAAGCTCTAGAACCTCATGGGGAAATTTCTTTAACTACAGATTTATGCTGCATTTGCTGGAAACGCAACTTGCACTGCAATGTCGCCGAGGCTACCCTTTCCTTCGGGAACTATATCCCTGTAAAGTTGGCTCCAATATTTGCTCTACCAGACATCTACAATTTAAAAAAAAATATATTCGTTCACCTCATGCAACATTTCATCCCTTCCTAGGGTCCAGTCACTTTATAACAGTGCCACCACTACAGATCTCGACGTCTGTGCCTCGGCCTCAGAGTTCTGTCGCTCATCGAATTGTTTGCTCTTTACAAACCAATTTTCATTTTTGTGTTTTGTACTATTTTTGTATTAAAGTGTCTCGAATGTGATCATGCATATTTTTGTTTCTTGCTTATAGTATTTTTGTGCAAGAGCAACAATCTAAAGATTATTGTGATTGTTTTTAGCCACTTTAAAAAAGACAATGTTTATTATCATTATTGTAACTATCACTAATACTATTATCTTGTCTCCCTCTTTAATTATCACCGGGATGTTTTCCGAGTATTCGAGTCAAGCGCATGTCCCCGAATGCCGGAAAATCAGCGTAATCCCCGACGAACGCCACATTTTCTGCCCGACACCGAAAAACACCAACCTTGCGAGAATGTCCCAAATCCTTCCCCCACCAAAAAAAACACAACGAAACCACATACATATACGACACTGTCAGAATGATTTTGAGCCCACGATGAAAGGATGACGCACAAACAATTTGAAAATATATATACACGACCAAAAAGTGTTTCGGGGCTGGACGGCATTCCACTGCGCATCCTCTCGTCGCAAGCGGTCGCGAGTAATTGCAACTCACTCGGCCGCAAAGACAGACGTGCGAACAACCCTTAACGACAAAACAGGAATGGAAATGTGGGGTCACCGGGAGCAAAGTCCCATGGCTTCGGCCGCCGCCGTCCCCTCGTCAAGGAGCGAGGCGTTTGCAACGTCCAGGCCCGTGAGGTCGGTGACCATCGTCTGGTAGTTGAGCAGGCTTTCCAGGCGACCTTGTGCAATTTCCGCCTGGTACGGCGTGTACTGCGTTGTCCTGGAGCGTAGGCGGTGAAGACTAGTCAAGCATAGTTTTCCTTCTTTTTTTGCGACGTTCGGTTTCTTTGTGGCATTTCCTAATTGAGCACATCTTGAGTGATATTAATTTTCGGCTGTGTTAGAGACACTGTGTGAATGTGCACGTCATTCTTTGCTTCCGGCAGTTCCGCGGTTACGCCGTGTCCAAGTCGGGTAGTTGCTGCACTCTTACGACTGCTGTTGTCACGTTCGAGACAGCACTGAATGGTTAGGTACTAGTATTAAAGATGAGCTGCGGTACGTTATACCCTTGATATGCTCATAAGCGATATATTACCTGCAGTAAAGATACCAATGTATTGTTATTACATACGGTGGTGTCAGCATATCTACTATGAAATTATGCAAGAGTCATCCAATGGAACCACTTTCCAGCAGGGACCCCGATCTGGACAGTTGGCAAAAAGTTTGGAGAGAAATCGGGTGACTGCGATTGGCCGGTGCCAAGTGCCAAGGTCAACTGCGGCGTCGGCCAATCCTGGCCGCCGGATTCCTCGCCGACTTTTTCGCCAAGTGTCCAGATTAGGGTCCCAGCTCTGGCAAACATACCATCCATTTATTTATTCAAAGAGGCAGTCACTAATCACCTTTGCCAACATCATGCTAAACATATGATAGTCTAACAAAATTGCTTAGTAAATTGTATTTTTAAAATGTGCATTTTTGTTTCATCGCGAGTTCATATCGCGGGACTGTAATAACCTATGGGCTCTGAGGGTATTAAAATAAATAAACAAATACATTTGCAGCTGCCTTTTTTTTTAGCATACTATATATGTGCGAGTGTAAATCCGTCCCGCGATTGTGCTCATTTTATTTTTTCAATTGTTGACGTTCTGTTTGACAAATATTTTTTTCCCTATTGCTTGGATACATTCTCTTACTTCGTTTAGACTCACACAGAGTGTGAGTTATGTCTCTCAAATGCACAAAGCAACATAATTGTTGTTTGTTTGTTTTTTTGGGTAAGTGCCAAAATGTTCATTGCACTTTTATATTTCAAGCATAAAAATGTGCAAATATTCAAATTTTCGAATAGTAGTTTAGGATAATACGCTATTCAATATTCACTTCGACATGAACTGTGATATTCATATTTTTCGAAGTGTTGATCGCGGCAGGTTAGCCCCAATGAGCGTGCTTCTTCCCGAGCACAGGAGCACAGTGGAGAAGCAACAACTGCGGACGCAGGATTCGCAGGTGTTGCTTCCCGGCGGTGCACCGTTGCTCGATAAGAAGCGCGCCCAACAGAGCTAACTCGCCGAAATCGACATTTCCAAAAGTGCAAATATCGCATTCGCACATATCGCATAGGAGAAAAGCACACTTTAAAAGCGGGATGGTGCACGCTTGCACCCGATGTATTTTACAAAGAAACGGAAATTTTGAGAATATAGTAAATTCCTGCATTGCAGTAAAATTTACAAAATTAAACTGTGGCTATTTGTAAGAGTATAATTAGGCAGAAATGCCCTGACAACCTGTGCTCAACATTTGTGATTTTTTTTTTTTTTTTTTAATTTAAGATTGAAGAAAGGATATTTGTGTAAAGCTAAATTGATAAATCCTCTCGATTAGGTATAGCTGGGCAACTCTATAGGCTTAACTTTATGTCAAATTTCTCGTTTTCTTGCTGTTACAAAGTAGGCATTGGACTTTCTGAGGCCACAGTTCATAAATATAGTTAGATTAAAATTAGCTTAGAAATGGACAAGTGGAAACTTGGGAACAATCTTCATGAGTGAAGCTGGGTTTTTGTTTCAGCATGGTGCGACAGTAGCAAAAGGCTGGAGAAATTATTCAATATTTGATTCGAAAATATCTGGCCCAAACCACCATTTGCATTGAATTCGTTTTGAACAAAAGTCCATTATTCACAGATAAATAAAATAAACCTAACCTAAAATAACGATGCCACCCAAGGAAAGGTAGCGATACCAGTAAATAAATGAGCAAAACTATTGTAAGTTTCAAAGTAAAGCTGACTTCACCAAAGAAGAAGTGAAACATCACATCAACGTTACCCCAATTTGTGTCTCGAGACTTTGAAATGCTTTAGCATGCTGACTTTGAACTAGGTGATAAAACTTTTTTATGATAACAGACACCTCATGTTTGTGGGGTGCTACTGATACAAATGTCTTTGTAAACACTAATGCAGTAGATTCTCATTAATTAAGACTTCAGGAAGCTATGAATTTTGTTTGAATTATCGGAAATTCATCTAAATATGATAGAAGATAACATTCTGATTTGCTATATGAATGACTACACATACAAAGCAGATATTTGATGATTTTCTCTACACGGACCTACTGATCGTAAGCAGGTACGCTGCATGCCACAAATGCATCTTTTTGTGAAATGTATGACGCAAGTTTGTTTGCCCTTCAGAAACGTTCACCGTGGACTGTTTAGACAGCACAGGACACCTCGAAACAAAATGAATCAAGCAGGGGACACATGAACGATGAAAACACGCTCTGCGCGGAAGTTTTCGTAGCAACTTGAGCGGCCGCTGTGACGTGTACCTATGCTGAACTGCCACGTCAAAGCGGCCGTGCAAGTTGCTATGAAGACTGCAGCGAAGCTTCGCTTCCATTACCATAGCTCATGTGTGCCTTGCTTGAGCCCCGTTGAGTGCGCTTCTCACCGAGCACCACTGCAATGCGGAGAAGCAACAGTTGCGGAACCAAGCTCCGCGGGTGTTGCTTCTCTGCAGTGCACCGGTGATCGGAGAGAGGCGCACTCAACGGGGCCGCGAGAACAAAAAGTAAATTACACGAAGACGCCGTTCGAATTTGGCGGCTTATGAACACATTAAAAACAAAGCGGGACAAGAAATATTTTGAAATTTGTTTGAATTGACCAGGAGCACGAAATATTCCAGTTTTGAATTATTGCAAGCCTACTGTACAGTGCCAGATGCAAAAAAGGACAGATCTTGCATAAAAATATGCAATCGGTGATAACAGGAAATAACCAAACGTAGAAGAATTATCTAAAAGCACTTACAAAACAAGGTTACGAGATGTTGAAATTAACTAAATTATCAAGCAGAAACCTCCACAACAAAACAAGCTGACGAATATACAATCCCCAATTCATACTACTCGCGAGATACAAAGTTTACACATTAATTTAACAGATACCAAACCCTCAGCATGTCAGAACTCCTCCTATAAAAATGATCTGATAAATCATGTTCATAAGCTGTCTCAAACACCATTTCTCGGTAGTATCGTGAAGATTTCACTTACGTCCCAGTAGAACTGGTTGCGCAATTAATTGTTCTGTATCTATATTAGTAGTACAGTGAAACGACCATATAGAAAAAGTAAGAAGAATATTTTGCAGAGTTATGCTCTATTTTCTAGAGAGCGATTGTCTGAGAAGCAGAAAATATTTTCATGTTCACTTGCCATCCGGGGTTCTCGAAGACGTTCCTCATGATGGTGGGAGGGGTCAGGCAGTTGTAGTAGCCCATGCCGATATAAGAGCGCCACACCTGGTTCATGTTTGCAATGGTCTGTGCCCTCTCCATCAGCTCTTCTTCCCCTGGAAGGTGATAACCTTGGTTAAACATCTCAAGATACATCATCATTCCCATATATCAGTACCTCAAGCAACCTACTCCAGTGTCACAAGCCTACTACCATTTTATTGCAAAGTTGTGCCAAGCTTGGAAGCCCATTACAGAGAAGAAGAAAAAGAAACTTAGGTGTTTAATGGCACAGCGGCAACTAAGGCCATAGTGTGCCAAACACAAGGTAAGTTAAAGGCAATACTGAAAAGACCTATAGTAGGTAGTTCCATCTTAAAACTATGGAAAATAAATGATTAAAACCTTACAAGATATAGGCCTATTGAGGCCTCCAGAAATTTTAACCAATGCTCCACTAACCAGAGGCACTCTAAAGGAATTTCATTCACGCAAGGAAGTATGAAAAATGTGCCGACGATACAAGATCGCCGGCTCTCTGCCACCACTAATTTTCAGGTAAACATAATAGAAAAGAAAACAAACTAAATTTCATAGCCGATGTAGGATGCCAATGCGATCTAAAAACTTAAAAACTTGACGGTGCGGCACAAGAGGTTCGTCACCCAATAATAATGCCGGGTGGAATGGGACGCGATTCCGGAAAAAGGTAGAGAAAAAATTGGTGCGTTCGTGATGGTACTTAGGACATACGATAAGAATATGCAAGACGCTCAAAGGCTCGTTACAGTGTTCACATTTCGGAGCTGCCTCTGCCCGTAGGAGGTACCCATGCGTGAGATGGGTGTGTCCCAGTCTCAGACGACAGAGCACAACCTCAAAGAAGCGTTCCCTGTGTCGGCAACTTGCCCATTCCCGCAGGGTAGGTTTCACACAATGAAGCTTGTTGTGTATTTCCGTGTCCCACTCTAACTGCCACTTTTTCTAGGTTGCTTTTTTAAGACTGTGTTTGTAATCAGTGTACGGAATGTCCTTGATATCCACTTGCCTCTCAATGCACGTACTGGCAGCTCTATCAGCATCCTCATTTCCATGAATACCGACGTGACTAGGCACCCAACAGAAATTGATGTGTAAATCTGATTTTGCTGCAGTGTGCACAATGTTCCGGAGCCTAGTAACGAAGGTATTCTTTGGTACTTCCAAAGAAGCAAGTGCCTTTAAAGCGCTGAGAGAATCAGAGTAGATAACAGAATGCTGGATAGCGTTTTCTATAATGAATTCAACAGCTAAGATTAAAGCATATAATTCTACAGTAAATATTGAGGCTCTGGCATCAAGACGCCTAACAACCTTCCATGTCTCGCTTATAACAGCACAACCAACAGCAGAGTCACTCTTAGTACCATCTGTGAAGAAACTCCTACAGTCACTGTACGTATAAGCAACCTGGGAAAACTCCTGCTGCAGGGCAGCAACACGAGTTTGCCGCTTGTTATATTTCATCAGAGTAAAATTGATTATGGGTGCTACGCACTCCCAAGGAGCCACCGCCAGTGGAAGTCGGGCAACTCGGCTGAAACTGTCAAGGTTGTAAGCCTGTGAATATGTTTTAATTCTCTGCGTAAAAGGGAGTACGACAGATGGCTTGTTCTGGAATGTAGTTTCATAGCGAGAATCCTGAATTGCTTCCTGGATCGGATGAAAAGGGACAGAGCGAATTCTTAATGCATACTGGAAGCCTAAATAAAACCGTCTTTTTTCAAGTGAATATTCATTACTCTCAGCATATAGGCTAGGAAGGAATAGGGGACGTCCGAAAAGCACCAGTGGAAAGCCTCAGACCTTGATGGCGGATCGGGTCCAACACCAGAAGGGTAGATTGACGTGCGGATCCATACACTACGCATCCATAATCCAATTTTGAAAGAACCAAGCAGCGATGGAGACGAAGGAGACATTCCCGATCGCTACCCCAAGACTTGCGTGAAAGCACCTTTAGGAGGTTCATTGACCTTGAGCATTTCTGTTTCAGGTAAAGTACATGACTACGGAAATTCAACTTTTTATCAAATATCACTCCTAGAAACTTGTGTTCATTACGAACAGGAATTGCCTGCCCCCTTAAGGTCAGACTAGGCTCTAGGATCATGCCCCTACGTAAAGAAAAGTTGACACATACTGACTTCTCTGGTGAAAAACTAAACACATTGGAATCAGCCCACCTCATCAGACTATTAATTCCCAGCTGAAGTTGTCTCTCGCAGACCGAAATGTTACACGAACAGCAAGAGATCTGCAAGTCATCCACGTAAAGAGAATAGGAAAGTGATTGTGGGATAGACTTTCCAATAGAGTTCATTTTTATTAAAAATAGTGTTACGCTAAGAACACCACCTTGTGGAACTCCATTCTCTTGGACGAAACTACGAGAGAAGGTTGTACCAAGCTTGACATGAAAGTATCTCTCTTCCAAAAAGCTTTTGATGAGCGAGAGCATTCGGCCACGAATTTCGTACGAGACAAGATTGTTCAAAATTCCATACCTCCATGTTGTGTCATAAGCCTTCTCTATATCAAAGAAGACAGAAACACAATGCTGTCTATTAACAAAAGCCTCACGAATGGTTTTCTCAAGTCGTACGAGGTGGTCCACCGTTGATCTTTGGGCACGGAAACCGCACTGAAACTTGTCGAGGAGGTTATTTTCCTCTAAAAAAATGGACCAATCTTGAGTTTACCATTCGTTCGAAGGTTTTCCCTAAGGAACTTGTGAGGGCTATGGGCCGGTAACTTGAGGGTAATGAAGGATCTTTTCCTTGCTTGAGGAGCGGGATAACCTCAGCTCTTTTCCAAGAATCTGGGAAGACCCCTTCTCTCCAGATCTGGTTAAAAAAGCTTAAAAGCGCCTGCAGGGTATTGGAATGCAAATGCTTGAGCATACAGTAGTGAATTCGATCTGGTCCCGGGGACGTATTTTTACTTTTATTTAATGCTGCCTGTAACTCTCGAAAGGTAAAAGGTCTATTATAGGGTTCTCGTAGTCCTCCAGAGCAATTTATTCTCTTCTTCTCTATAACACTTTTATGCTTTAAAAATGCAGCCAAGTAATGCGATGAACCTAATACTGATGCGAAGTGCTCCCCTAGAATATTGGCCTGCTGCTCAAGACTAGGCAGTACACCACCTGGCAGAACAAAAAGCGGTATGGAGAAGCTCGATAATCCCCATTAATCTTGTGCACTTTTTCCCAGACAACTTTTACACTGGTGTGACTATTAACGGAGGAGGTGTATTTCTTCCATGTCGTCTTTTTTGATTGACGACGGACATATCGAGCCTTCGCCCGAGCCTGTTTGAAGGCTAAAACATTTGGAAGGGTCGGGTACCGGCGTAGCACATCCCATGAACAATTTTGTTTTTTTCGAGTCTCACTGCACTCCTTAGTCCACCAAGGTTTTGGCTTAGCAGGAAGGCGTGTAGAAGACTGCGGAATAGCTTTATGAGCTGCCTCAATTATAGAGGCAGTAAAGCATTTGCAGGCATCATTTACATCCAAGCCAACTAAAGTGTCAGGGTTAATCTCAGATGCACTTTCAAACATGGCCCAGTCTGCCTGGTTTACTTTCCAGCGTGGTGAACGTGTCATGAGAGAGCATGAAGGAGCAGTGCACTTTAAAATAATGGGGAAATGGTCGCTACCATATGGGTTAGGATGCACATGCCATGAGAAGTTAGGGAAAAGTGTGGCAGTCCCAATGGAGAGATCAATGCATGATGAAGAAAGGTGTTGACAGCTAAAAAAGGTAGGCTCACCAGTGTTAAAAAGACAAAGTGTTCGAGAGAATAACACAGACTCAATAATTTTTCCTCGGATGTCACGACGTGTACTCCCCCATAGAGGGTTGTGACAATTAAAATCACCCATCAAAAGGAATGGCTCAGGAAGCTGGTCTAAAAACGAATTAAAATCTGAGGATTTCAAAGTAAAGGATGGTGGTAGATACAAAGAGCACACTGTCAGAGCTTTGTGAAGCATGAACCGTACAGCCACTGCTTCCAGTGAGGTAGACAGTGGGACCTGTACGCAGGGCACTTCTCTCGGGAGAACCACCGCAACTCCTCCAGAAGAACTGACAGAGCACGGACGATCCTTTCGGAATACCTGGTACCGTCCGAGGAAGTTGGTATGGCTGGGATTTAAATGAGTCTCCTGTAAGCAAAGCACACGTGGCTTGTGTTCCTCCAGCAAAAACTCAACATCATCCAGGTTATGTAGTAGCCCTCGACAGTTCCACTGCATTAGCACTGAAACCATTATTAAGATATGAAATTATGAGCACACGGATGAACAGTAAAAAAAAAAATCATCCCTTCGGAGGTTGGAGCAGCACACAGTGCTTTCACAGACGTCTGCGACATGTTCGTTGCTGCCACACTTGGCGCAGATCTCTCTTCCACGGCAGCTCCTGGACCCATGCCCGAACCTTTGGCACCTGAAACACCTTTGGTGGTTTGGCACATAAGGACGGACACGGCAGTTCAGATAGCCTGCCTTTACTGTTGCTGGGAGACAGTGCCGCTCAAAAGAAAGAATAAGATGTTTTGAGGGAATCTCCTGACCCTCGCGGCGAAGTACAATCCGCTTTACTGCAATGACACCCGAGTTTCGTAGGCCTTCAAGGATCTCATCCTCACTTACATCTAGCAGGTCCTCTTCGGAGATGACACCACGCACAGTGTTCAAAGTCCTGTGCGGTGTTACCGTGACTGAGGTCTCCACGATGCTCTTCATCTTCTGAATGGCCACACTTTGCTCTTGTGTGGTGACCTCAACAAGGAGGTCCCCAGAATGCAACTTTTTTGCTTGGTAGGAGTGTCCGATCAAATGCTCAAGAACCTTGGCAACAATGAACGGAGACAGCTTGGCGGCAGGGCGTTGATTGTCTTCAGAGTGAACTACAAAAAATTTAACAAAGTGTTCTGTTTCTGGTGCTTTGGCGATGACTTGTTCCGGACAGGGCCGTTTGGATGCCTGCCTAGAACCGGGTTTAGAGAGAGAGGGAGCCATAAGAGGCGGAAAGTGTTCAGAACCTGTGGTGTGCCGCCCACCACGGAGCCCAACAAGGGAATAGTTAACGGACCATAACAAAAAGGGCTTTGCTGGAACCGTTAGACTATTAGCACTGCCCAGGTACTATAATCAAGTGTGGTTTTGGACGAGGAGTCTGTCGCCACTCAAGGTTAGCCCTTGCCGCCAAAGGAAATGAAAAAAGGAAAGAAGAGAAAATGAGAAGAGTGAAAAGAAGGAGAAGACAAAGGTAAAAGAAGGGAGGGGATAGTAGAAGTGGCGACTGACTGAATCATCCTGGTCGGGCCAAGCCAGGACACCCGTCTACGGGAAGCGAGGGCCGAAGTAGGGTATTGCCTCACCCGGGGGGCCCCGAAGGGTCCAAACCTACCCCGGGTTCGACTCAACCACCAGGATGCCCTTTTCCCCGGACACGGGAAAGCCACGCACAGCCAGACGTGGGCGGGCAAACCCGCATGGCTCGGGGTCCGTGGAGACGCCCATTACAGAGGCCCGATTGTCTGTACTAATCAGAAAAAAACAGTGAAGGAGCAGGCAGACTGGTCAAATTATACAACGTTAAATTATCCATGACCGGGGTACGGAAGTTTGTATAGTTTGTATTCGTTGTGTAGATTAGGTGACAACCTTGACAAGGAGGACAAGGAGGACCTATGGGACCTATGGGAGGTAACCCAGCTGAAAATTCCCATTAGATCCAATCGGAATTCTAACTGGTTTTAATTGGAACAAATTGGTTTTAGTGGGTTCCAATTTGAAGCACACTGGCCAGTGGGTCTCACCAACTGGAAAAAGTTTTCCAGTTGGAATCTTAATGGGTTCCAATTGGTTCCCATTGCAGTGACCAATTGGTTGTCCCAAAACCTAGCTGGTCCCAATTGGAAATTCCAATTGGAATCTAATGGGAATTTTCAACTGGGAAGTAAAGAAACAAATAAGCTAAGTTTGAAATGCTGTTTGTCTTATTTTCCTTTGCTTGTCTCTTCCACCACTGAATGTTTGCAGTTTCATGACTCCAATGCTTCCCAAACTTTGCCACCCTGCGACCAAGCAAAAATATAAAATATTGCATCGTGACCCTTCCTCAGCCTGCTCATTTCGATGCCACAAGCTTTGCGATTTCAGTGAGTGAATAATGCACAAAATTGAAGCTGAAACTATATTTGGCAGTTAATATAATTATAGTGAATCAGCTAAGCTGGACACTATAGCATAAAACAAAAGATGCATGTCAGCGGGAATTACTGTTCCTCATGGCTAAAGGAAGCTTGTTTGGTAGTGCACAGTTTCTCATAACAAGTGTGGCAATTAGACACTTCAACTCCCAGTTTCGGATAAACGTCGAGCTGAAACCTGCACGTTTTCCTGAATGCCACTGCAGAGAAGCCAAGTGTGCAATTTTTTTTTTGAAGTTCCCTTTCTGCTTTGTGACCCCCCCCCCTGAATATGTTTGAATATGACCCAGGTCGAAAAACGCTGCGATACCCCACTGCATGTATATCCAGAGTCCACAGGCTGTAGTAAACATTTATTTTTGTAAATCGACTTCCCCACACAGAGCTTCACCAATTGTGCTTACTTTCGAGCACACTTCAGGGTCCTGAGGGTCAACATCAAGGCGAACAATTCGCAGGGCATTGAGAAGTAGTGATATGACGTCAACTCGGCTATAAGGTGACAATGCGCCAAACTATCAGCTATATCACGCCGATGCCATGCGTGCAAAAGTGTGGCGCACAATGGATGTTTTTCTCGGAAGCCAGTGGCTGCAAGTGGCGTGGTTTCCTGATCTTATCAGCAAAGCACAAATGAGCGGGAGAAGATGCTGGGTTTGACCAGATAAGGGACCTTCGTCTGGCAGGCCGATAAGCCCATTGGGATAGCCCCATCGGCACGGCAGACATAAAAGAAAAAATGACAAGGGGGAAGTAAAATATCGACTCAATCAGACACCTCAACGGATCAAAGGGTTTCACTCACGACGGAGTGGCTCGACAAAGCCACTGCCATTTGATAAAGGTCAACAGAGCATTCGTGATGGGTTAAAAAATAAATAAAAAAAAAGAAAGATAGATGGAACTTATCGTGCAGTGAACTGCTTGAAATGACATTTTTTCCCCTTCGTTTTAATATTTTGCGTTGTGTCAAGACATTCATGGAACATTTCTTCCGAATATTATCATCCCAGCATGCTGCCCAGGGTCCCTCAACATGGTGCTATCAGAGACAAGGGGCATGTATGGAATTTGCGTCTAGAGAATGTATTAATATAGCCAAGCTGTAGTGCTGTTCAAAGTGTATTACTAGTATTCATTTTTTATATCCTTAATGCTTATGTCATTAAAAAAAAAAGTGAAGATTAACGTTTGTCACACATGTCAATATAGATAATGCTCATTTCATATTTTCCCGTTTAGCTGCATCATACTTGCCTGTCTGTGTCCATATGTACAAATTTCTCTGTGCTCCAAAAAAAAAAAAAAAAAGCCAATATACAATCGTTTTAGGGTGTTACTGCTGCCATGATTGAAGATGCCAATACCAATAATTTTTCAAGTAGTGCTATAACCAATGACGTAAATGAATATATAAATAATAACAGTAATAGGTAAATCCTTCTATGATGTATTGTTTGCAGTGGGAGAGAGGGTAAAAAAAGAGCAGCTTCTGTTTTCTCTAACAAAAATATATTGGAGAACTAACTACTCGGCAACGAAGATCACGTTTCCTCTCTTTAGTTAACAGGTAGGAATATATATATGGACCCATGAAATGCCCATGCGCCAAAAATAATATACACATATAAAAAAAAAAAAAAAAAAAAAGAAATCTTACGGAGTGGTCCATCCAGCTTCATTTCCCTGTTGAGTCTGATGCTGGAAGGCACTGTCCTGTCAATGAGCTCGGCAATATTCTGCACAGGCCATGACAAAAATTTCCAATTAAAACTACGAAATTCAGGATAAAAGATAAATTATTTTTCCAGAAATATCACAACAGGAACTCAATCTGCGCTATCATAGTGCCGTGCGCACACTTCCTACTCCATAATTTCGATAAGATTTTTTTTCTTTTACCTTGTTGGCAGCAGCAGATTGCACGGAAAATATTGGCGTGACCTTGAATCCGAACGAAATGCACGATTTAGCAAAGTTTGTCAATTAATTTCTAACTTTCATAACTTGCGGTTATCAAAAGCGTCTGCTAGTTTTTTTTGTTTTTTTTTGTTGTCTGCTACGGGGACCGTAACGTCTGCTAATTCGCTACGTCTGTTACGGAGGTCAGCGCGTTTTGGAAAACGAAACAAAACAAACATCCATACCTTGAGTCCCATGTATTGGAGCATGGCTTTCTGATCTTTTTCTCTCGGTCCGAGATGTCTGCTGCAGAAGTCATCGTGCACTGGTAGGAGGCGGTCCAGCGTCGAAGCCGAACGCACCGAGCGCTTCAAAATCACTGACGCGCGCTCCAAAATTTGCTTGACGTCGCCGCGCATCAGAGCGCCCAACCTCGGAATTCGCTGCATCGTTCAAACCTCGGGATTATTTCGATGCAGCCAGGTTCATAACAGAAACGAGTTGGGCCACGGTACGCTGGTGCCACCACCGCCGCCGCCGCTACCTGAAGATCAGGAAGTCGGACGCGAAAGGCCGGTGGCTCCACTGCCTCCTAATCGCCCGATGCTTTATCACAGAAATGCACAGACAGGCAGACGACGCGAAGCGCGCGCTCGTGATTGATACGCTTGCCAGCCGCGTTTCTGAAGTCCGCTAAATTCGGCGGGCGCCTAAAATATCACAGTAGCGCGCCGCGAAAAAAGAGGCACACGTATATAAAACAAGAGGATTGACGTTGGCTAATTTTCCGTCGACCAATAGACGTTGCCGTCCGGCGACGTTATGTCGCCGCCCGGTTACAGAAGCACAAGTAACGAAACCGAAACTAAACTTGCCGGCATCAACGCAAGCGCAAAAGAAAGAAAAAAGAAAAAAAAAAAAAAAAGTAAAAAAGAGAAAAGAAATTTTGTTGCAGAACGATGACTACCGAGTTCTGAAGATTCCGATTGTAGGTCGCTTGATACAATTCTGGAGTGGAGCCAGGGGCTTGTTTTGAACGCTTGGAAGGTCGCTTGCGCAACGCACAAGGGCACAGCATTTTCGGCCAACAAATAGTTGAAGAAAAACGATGCACACAGCTCTACAACCCAAAATAAACAACAAGCCGCGTTTCTAAAATCTTTTTTTTTTTTTTTTTTTTTTAAATGCGCGTTAAAAAATAAATATATACCCATATGCTGCCTTCCTCAAAGATGCAAAATGAGGCAACCCACTTGCTCAATTTCTTTGGCACACAAGTCTCTTATCCACAGGATAACCTTATCACGGAGAATTAGACAGATAAGGCTGAAGCAACTTGCAAACAAACCTCTCGCCATATAATTATTGCTCCACGTATGCACTAAACCCCGCCAAAATACATAAATAAAAAATCAGAACAAGCGGTGTGCGAATACTAATGATCCCATGAAAATAGCGCTGACTCATTCATAGCCTTGACAGCTGTAAAGAATTTACCAGGCAGTGCCAAAAAAGCAACCACACTGTGTTCGTCGTGTTTGAGTGCGAGTGTTATCGGATGCACCGTGACTTTGCACTTTTGGCCTCAGTGGGTATTCACTATTCAGCCCTCGACCAGGCTAAACGAAGACTCGTATCACGTCCCTGACCCGTATCAGGGGGATGGATAAGAAATCAGAAGTGGGCCAACTGTTATCTTTCACGCGTTCGGCCTTCCCAGTAGCGGCTGTGGAGAGGGTAATGCTCAAGACCGAAAAAGCTCACGTACAACCAGCGAGCAGCTTTCACATTTTATGACCAGCAACGAGATCGCTCTGCAAGAGCGTGGCGGTGTTAGCCTACATCATTGAATTCAATCTTACTTCTAGACTGGCCACATTACCTAGAGAAGGGTATTACGCGGCGTCACAATAAAGTGGAGACCAAGAAGCTGTAGGCACTATAATAACCCAAATGACCCGAAACACCCAATCCTTTTTTTCGGCCGTGCCTGCGGTCCCCTCCAAGCTCCGTCAAATAATCTGAAGTATGGGATGTCAACTTTACATTCCATTTTGTAGTTTGAACCACAGCTCTGTTTCAGCTCGGATTGCATACAATAGTACATTCGACCAGTCAGCCAACCGAATCTCCTCATACTGTTCAGGATTTTACCGTAAAACATTCTCGCAACATGTACAGCGAGAAAAGCTCACCAATGGTAAGCTGAGAAGCGTTTTCTGCAGATCTCGCTATCCTGGCAAGCTTCAAAGTGTAAGAATGTTGTGTAAGAATGCGGCACATTCAATATTCTAGCGAGCAACAAGCACCCTTGTATATTACGAACATGTCATGTAACACACATGTTACACAACTTGTGCCACTTGTGTGCACCTAGGATCTGGTTGCTAGTATGGGTTTATACAGTATCAATTCAATATTTGCCATTACATTCGATGTGAAAGACTGCAGCTGACAGTTGTGCACCAGTCTCCTGTTAGAGTTACTCGATTTATGCTGCAAGGAACCGTTCCTCGATTGGAAGGTGTTCAGTAATGCCCGGAAACCAATTTGTCGCACGTCTAAAACGCAACACCACATGTTGAGAGCCACTTTAGCATCCCTTTACGCGGGTCTACAAATGTTTTGGCTAAGGAGCTGGATTGGGGACCTGTTGCAGTCTCGAGGGACAGAAATTAGACAAGACAATACATACGAGGACATACTAATTAAATAAGCCAAAAAGAAACATTTAAGCACAGAAATAAAAAAAAGTAAGGTGGACAAATACATATACTTTATTTTAAACTGCTATACTTTACTACTTGCATTGCAAAATAATTGTGACCCCGAGAACTCACCCGACATAACTCAAACCGCATAGGAATTTCGGCATATTCACACGGCACAAGACTAATGAATATGAAAGGTCAGATCACTGATATTCACGGAAACGCCCATGAAATTTTTCATAGTTGCGTAGACATGAAGCAGGCAACTGCGAATAGCAATTCTGGTGAAGACAATGGACATTAATATGCACAGAACCGGCATCTAGATGCATTTTTCAAGGCATGTGCGAATAGTGTTCTTTTTAGTTCAAAGCAAATAGTGGTTTCAGCCATATATTTATGAATAGAATAGTTTCTCCAAGCCTTTCAGTACTGCACCATGCCTAAACGAAAGCCCATCTGAACTTGTAAAGGTTGTTTCAAAGCTACCACTTGTTCATATCTAAGCTAATTTAATTTTAATATAGCTATTTTTATGAACTTATCTCAGAAAGTCCATTGCCTACATAGGAATGGTCAGTAAACTATGAAACCTTCAGTGATGCCCAGCTTTACATAATCAATGGGAACTAACCCTTGCTATATGCAAATATCCTTTATAAATCTAGAATTTGAGCAAATAAAAAGACTAACAAATGATAAACCTAGGTTGTAAGGGCATTTATGCCCGACATATACTGTTCCATAATAGTCAGTTATGTATTAGAAAGTTTTCTGTAGTGTAGATATCAGCATTCACAAAGTTTCCCTTTTTGTTATTAACTCCACGCACACACTTCCATTATCTTGCTTTTGAAAGTGGGCTTTTTTTTCTTTAGAAAGTGACATTATCCCACTTTTGAAAGTGGGCTTTTTTTTCTTTAGAAAGTGACTGCAACATTTGTACTTTTCAAAGTGTTGATTTCGTCAAGTTAGCCCCATAGAGCACACTTTTTACCGAGCGCCGGTATATGAATATTAGAGTTCATCTTGAAGCAAATACCGAATTATTCGAAACAACTATTCAAAAATACAAACATTCGCACAACACTACAGTCTTCTCTCATCTCTTTTCAATATTTGCATTTGTGTTTTTGGTGCGTGTCGCAGCGTCAATTATTTGAAGAGTCCTCATTTTCTTCTGCGTTGGTAGCAGCGGGCTGTGGGGCGGGTTTCGCTGGGAAGATCGCGGCCATCGGCAGGCTGGCCGAAATACCTCCGCGGGTATGGTGTTTGGAGACCCCTGCTTCGAGACAAGTGTTTGACGCACAATCGCTGCTGGAAGTTTGAAGACTACTGCAGCACCTGTACCGTCATTTGGGCACACTGCACTACGAACTCTAGTGCAGAGCACAGGAACCACTGGTCCCACTAACGCACAAGGGGCAGATTTAAGGGGAGGGGGGTCACCCTTTCTCTTAAAGCCCGACGACCAGTTCGCGCTTTCCACTTTTCTCCCGCGTCCTCCTCTCCCCCTTCTACCCTGTCCACCGCTGCCGGTTTCTCCTTCCCCATGGTGAGGAGGATCTTCCGCCTTGCAGAATCTCGAGTCTGGTCGTGGGCCTTTAAATGAAGACACAAAGTCTCCCTTTTCTTAAAATTAAAACATTGATATACATTAGTTAAAAGTTGTGTTTCTGGTAGCCTAGTGAACATTGAGTCAACAAAATAGATTGGGGCAACGTTTCAGCCACAGTCATTACTCAGCAGCCCCCCTTCCTTCCTTCCTTCCTTCCTTCCCCCGCACGACAAACACACATAAAAAGAAGAGATGAACAACCATAAAGAGCACAAACTGCTATTTAATAACAATGCTGTTAATCGGTTTGCTCCCTCAATGCATCATAGCCCAGCTAAAAGTCCAGAACAAAAACAAAACAAATGTCATCTGAATGGTGAGAATGACGACTCCAAAACGCGGCAGGCATTCTTTACAACGGGTGCCGGTGAGTTGCAGGTTCCATTTCCGTCGCACGTACTGTCTGCACAACCGTGTGCGAGCGGTAGTAATCGTATGCTTGCTACTGTTTGCTACCTTGATCACGACAACAACGCATAGCACGAGCCAAGCGGAGAAAAATCACTAGGCAACGAGCAACGTCTGACAAAGAAAACAAACAAACAAAAACAACTAAATGCATTGTGGGGTAAGAAGCCACAAACACGACTAAGGCGGTTGACCAGAAGACGCGCCTTGAAGGCGACGGCGCGTGGACGGCAGCGAGGCTTGAGTGCGGCTTTAGAATTTGCGCGTAAACGAGAACAGCGTAGAAAGGAATTTTGACGAAGGTCGTCGGGAGGGTTACTTGTGCTTGTCCAACATTTCCTTGATGGACTCTTCGTTGGCTCCGGAGATTTCGTCCAACTAGAAGGGAAGAGAAACGCCGCTTATCAGCGCTTCGGAGAGATCGACAGATAGGCAACCTCAAAACAACCGGGAACGCAGCGACATCCTCCTTATCGAGGTTCATATCAAGATCTATGGGTAGCAATAGACACCAACATAAAGGGGCAATGCTCCCCCATGGATGAACGGAAAAAAAGCTGGTTCACACATGCGCTGCAATGCTGAGATAGCACTGATAGAGTACTGCTGCAGAGCAAAGTCGGTACAGCGTCTGTAGCGTCGGGTTAGCGCAGTGCTGTGTAACGTAATATCTCAGATGTGACCCATCTAGAAAAGATATCCCCCTTATTTTTGGCATGGTTCACCATTTTCTAGTAATTGTACTGCCCTGGTCAACAAGTCTGGGAATTCGCAATACAAAAGTAGCATTTTTAAAAATCCCACGCTTCATTTACATCAGATTTGTTCGATTTTTGGTAGGCCATCTCTTGGGATATTACGATACATGAACAAGACTTAAAGGAGTTGTGCAACAATTTCAGTGCTCTGCTGAAATAATTTGGGAGTTGGTGTCTCGACCTTTCTGAAGTAAAAAACAAAAAACGCTTTTGCCTGCATGTCCTAGTTTTTATTTTAAAAAGGGACAAAGACTGAGGTTTTCGGCACCTTTCAACTCCTTCACCATCTTCAGAGTCACGTGCTCTGTAACCTCAATGGGGGCTGCGTGGGGTTCCAATGAAGCTGTCTCTAGAGCCATCACGGAGCAGCGAGAACTCGTCCACTCGCGACCACGTGACCACGTGCTGGTGCAGCGCGAATAATATGGAAAAAGAAGGAAAGTCCCATCCAAGTCCGGCCATCCTCGGGCTCTACCGCCCCTCCAGCTTCTGGCGGCTGTTCGCGGTCGCAGATAGAGCCAACGGTTTTGTGTACCTAGAATAGACGACGCCACTAAAACTCCGTATAATTAAAGTTGTCAATGATACCTGGTTTTCGACGCATTTACATTTATGTTAGAACGACAAGATTTATAGAAAAGTTTCCTTTTATCGAGCCAGTATTCGCACAACTTGCTATCTTTCTACAAGAACCCCATTGACGTCATGCCACATGGTTCTCATGGCCGCCGCTTGCGGCTGCAGGTTGGGGAATATTCTCATTTATTCCTCGCGATGGAATCGCAACTTTCGAAGGAAGGTGGTGTGTTTTCTGTCCTTTGTGACAAGGTGAACAATGTCAAAAGTAGAAGATGCCAATTCTTTCAATGTTAAAATCGTTGCACAGCTCGTTTGAAGGGAAGCATTTAAGAAATCAGTTAGGAGCGGACCTTCTTGTCCTGTGAACTCAATTAACTGATGAAGTAAACGCAAACCACAATTATTGTGAAAAATATGCGCAGTGAAGGCCGCAGGGCTTCTGTCGCCTGTTATCTGTTCAAGAAGTCGCAACGTCATCATCAGCATCCACGAGCCAGAGTAAGGGTCGTCCTACCACACCGACGACATCACTTTTGCTAGTGTTTCTCTCCGCTCTTGGCAACAGGCGAGGCTATACTGCAATTTTAATTGGCAAACGCAACACAGATTTTTGAATAAGCCTACATTAAAGCCTTTTCAAATTCAGGAATCTCTTTAGCTTCCCTTTATTGATGGAAAGAGTGATTCACAAATGAAAAGCAGAAAAGCATTGGCACAGAAAATAAGAAAAGTACCCCGATTAACACGAGCTGCGACCACCAATCTGGCTTCTTTCTCCGTCTGCAATCCCCACAGCTTTCCACTACCTCTCGATTTCTAATGAACGTCAAAGGCTAATATCGAAGCTTTGCATTCCATCAAACAGCATGGACCGAAGCTCGTTTAGAATCTGGCAGGCATGACAGAATGGATGAAGGGCAGCTCGTGGCGTCCGCGACAGTACACTCGTTAATTCAGCTAAGAAACCTTTCCCAATCGTTGATCCGGCAGTGCATATTAGCGCGATTGCCGCTTAGAATTTCCATGTCATAACACATACAAACAGAATACCGTGGATAAATTCAGGAGGAATAGGTGGCAAAAGCGTGTTAACGCACAACAGCATGTCGAGCAAAAGCTCATGCTGCAGAGCCCGAGGATTCTGGGCCTAACCTCCACTAAAATATTAGTGCGGGCTAGTCTGTTCAACGCAAGGATGACAAAACACAAAGGGACAGCCAAGGACATGAAGCAAGCAGGATAGCATTGTCCTGTCTACTTTATGTCTTTGTCTGTCCCTTTGCACTTTATATTAGTATCCCTAATCTCTATTCCTGTTTACTTTCATCTGGGCGAGTGTCGTGCCCGCGTGCAGTCCTGTAACAGTACTGCGTGGCATACGTTAAAGACACCAGGCTAGCAGCAGTACTACACTGGCTAAATTGGCAAAGACACCCTCTAGGTGTGCCGACCCTCCCGCAGTCTTAATGTACAAGCAACCCAATTATTATGAAAGGAGAAGGCAAGGCTCCAAATACGGGAGAGCGCAGGTTACCTACCTTGGTTTTGTTCTTGATGAAGAGGAAGGTTGGCATGCACGCAATCTCGTACTCCTGCGTAATCTCCTGCGGAAGAAGCAAAGTCGAACAGTTGGCACGTATGCATTCACTTGCAACCATTGGAATTGGAACGTGCCACCAACTACACGGACCGTACACGCGACAGCGTGACACGCTGGGTTCTGGAATGTCATGTGTTGCTAGTTCGAGACTGCTTTTGACGTAAATGCGAGATAAGACACTAAACACACCAGTCGAAAATACTTTCCAGGCGCCATCTCGCGATGGAACACCGGTCTAAACTTGCATATAAATGCCTCGTCCGGTTTCGGTTCATCGTTGTCCTTCAGTGTGTTTCGGCGATGTTCTCTCGTACGTGTAGAAGGACCCAACGGGAATTGCAGCTGCATGTACTGCAGAACTCTGTCTCGAGAAACAAAGCTGAAACCCCGAGGAAAGGTTTTGGCTACATTTTTACTTTCGCAGATGTCGTGTTGGGTCTCTGAGCAACGTTTCTTAGCCGTCGCCGTCGATAGAAGCTGGAAACAATATTGCACTGTCTGGCTCTATCTTCGTTGTACGATTAGGAACGCAGTAAAACAAGCTGAGTGGAACTTTCAAGACAAACACAGCTAGACTAAAAAAGAAAAAGGGACAGATAGATAAATATAAAGACAAATAGAGAGAGGGAGAGAGAGAAAAAAGCAGAGTATAATTAGAAGCCCATCAAGTAACCAATTGCTGCCAACAAAGGCCCAAACAAGGCGCTTCGCAAATTGTTCAAAACACAAAAAAGTTCTTACTTCATTCTCGTCCACATCAACCTTGAGGAAGATGACAACATCCTTGAGAATTTCGGACTGTTGCTGCAAAACGAAACGACACATCCTTGTAGAAACAGACACTAGGGGCAGAATGCACATCCTGGCCAATAATTATAAAAATATAAATTACATTATTCCAAATATACAGCTAGTAAAGACTGCTGTGAGCTAAGAAGACCACGACAAGCTCGTCCCATAAAGTTTTCCGCTTTAGCAGAGTGAACGCTATAAAGGGGCTTCTCTTTACCTTCACTATAGGTTAAAACCACAAGCCCCAACGTCTCGTCGTAAATGTGCCCCTTCCTCCGGCAAAGTGTGGTTCCACGCCGCAATCGTGGCAAGCCAGGGGTTGGTAGGCCCCAATCCCGTCGGCCGAGGAGCGGATTTCGTGACAGGCACCCCTTTCGTTCTGTGGCAGCCATCTCAGCTTAAAACTCTGCCAACCGAAGGAAGCCTTAAACCAATCGGTTTATGATCTTGCGGGTTTGTAAGCAGCAGTCGAAGTGTTTTTCGTCCAGAAATGCCACATCCTAAGCTAAACGTGTACCACAAGCAACTAGGCAAGTACCCACACGAATCCACGGGATAGTTACGACAAAACCTTTCTGGTGGGCACCTGCTAGAGTTCACACTTGTCTATGGTCGCGAACAGGATGAGCAGGGTAGGTGTCCTTTTCCGGAAACCCGACCTCCAGCACGCGCTTGTAGCCTTGCACCGTTATTCTCACACTGTCAGTGACCTAAGACTTTAAACACTAACCAATGTAAAAGTTGCCAAAAACAAAAATAAAGGACAGCACTTGCTAATCGGGAATCCATTTTGATTCTTTCCAAACGAGTTCCCTGCGATTCATGCGAGCACAGCAGACACCTCGCGGAAGCTGTACCGAGCTACAAAAGTCAACGACGAAAATGCCGTTTGCTCGCTACTCACCTTCAGGAAGGGCTCCACCATCTTGCAAGGGCCGCACCACGTGGCAAAGAAGTCCACCACCACGAGCTTGTCGCCGGCCTCTTCCAGCTTCTTTTCGAAGTCCTCCTATACGCAAAGAGACAAGAGCACTTAATCTGTGTGTCACTCGGCAAGATATCTGGCCAGGGCAGCGCATAGACCTGGGTAAGATTCCTAGCTCGACAAGGCCGCAATGCAGACATTGGCCTTCAATCTAAAAACAAAACTAAGTGTAGCGTCTGCGGTCGCGGAAATACTTATGCGACACACCCCAAATAATATGAGAGATACCCGTGGCACAAGATCTGTTCTGGCTGCTGGACTATATCATTATGAAGTTAAAAATCGGTGCATTCTCCAAACTTGTTGAATTGCAATAACTCGGAAAAAAAGGGGATGTCTTACACAGCACATAAAAAAAAAGAAGCAAAAAAAAAAAAAAAAAGCCTATGCTTCATTTAGCAGATGACCATTTTAATAGTCCATCATAACAAAGTAATAAAACATTTAACTATACAAAACAAGGTTACACATGACGATTCAGCATTTTGCTAAAGTACCAGACTTCTTTCAATTAAGCAGAACAAAAAGGAAGTGACTTAGGATTCAGAACGACAAGCCAGCTGGGCCATTACTGCGAACATGCCAGCAAATGGTGCGAGCCTTTCAATAAGTGACAACAATCAAGCCAATCCAACAAAGTAAACAGATTGCCTGCCCAAACTATGTCATTGCAAATAATGATAAATAATAATAGTTTTCTAGTTCCTGCACCCACAAACAAGCTTATGATCTATGATCTGATGTGTGGTGCACAAACATGAAGTTGGGGAGTGGTGACATCTTTGGAATTACCAGTGCTACCAGGAAACGACCACAAAGACAAAATGGAAGAAATCTGAGAACAAGATTGCCATAAATTTGGGAGACTAATACCCCTGTTACACGGGCACACTTAACTGCAGTTACGCTAAACCACAATTAGCGCACAATACTTGCCGACAACATTCTGCGGCGATGCAGTCAGAGCTATGGGCGAGCGTGCGCTTGAGCATCTTGAGCACCCATCAAAGCAGTGCACGCGCTCTCTTCGCTTCTTTTGAAATAGCTGTCCGAGTGTATAGTGCGGCATATGTGCTGCCACGTAACCGCAGTTAAAGCTGAGTTAACCGCGGTTAATACCCCTGTTACACGGGCACAGTTAACCGCGGTTAACTCAGCTTTAACTGCGGTTACGTGGCAGCACAGATGCCGCACTATACCCTCGGAAAGCTATTTCAAAAGAAGTGAAGAGAGCGCGTGCACTGCTTTGGTGGGTGCTCAAGATGCTCAAGCGCACGTTCGCCCATAGCTCTGACTGCATCGCCGCAGAATGTTGTCGGCAAGTATTGTGCGCTAATTGCGGTTTAGCGTAACTGCAGTTAAGTGTGCCCGTGTAACAAGGGTATTAGTGTGCCCGTGTAACAGGGGTATAAGTCATGGCTGGATGCTTCCACCACAAAAAAGGCACGAAGCCAAAGACTTCTCTCCCTTCATTTCTTTTATAGAGTTAAGCGAAAAACCACTGCTCTTTTTAATGCTTTCGAATGTTCAAGCTTGATGTGTACCACTTTTATTCAGTCTATACACGTAGATGAAACAAGGTTTACGTGGCGACCTTTCCATTAATTTACATAATCTCGTTCAACCAGAACCGGTTTACCTATATCGACAGAAGACGCTCCCTCGACCAGACATTCTATTTGCACCTAAAAGAGCTGGGTTAGCTAACTTCACGAAAACTACGTCACAAGTATGGAACACACAGCTCACGTAAAAAAAAAGAAAAAAGAAAAGACAGTTTGTGAAGTTCTCGGAAACGCCACTGCGTCAGAAACGGCGGCGGCGCTGCGAGCGCACCTTGCTCGGTGTTTAACATTAAAGCCCTCACTAGCCGTAGTAGAGGATATGAAGAATACTATCCTAGAAATAAAACATTCCTAAACTATTGTGGTACAAAACAAAAATAAAAACGCAAGTGCAAGAGGCTTGGCCGCCTAGCAACACGCCGCGCCAGCAGACGACGCGATGTTGCTTCGTCTGCAAATATTTGAACTGTGCTGCCGGGAAAGGACTACACATACGTATAAAAAAAGGAAAGTGCCAGGCGCGATATACAGAACGTACCGGATAACCTCATTTTCTTATCACTCAGTGGGGGCGATAAAAGAATAAGAAAGCAGCTCAGCACCCTTTCCGTTTTATTTATGCCCGGCCAGTTCGCCATCTTTGCGGTCCCGAGAATCACACGGAAGCGACCGACCACAAAAATACTAATTAAAATATTTAAAAATAATAATAAAAAAAGGTTAAAAGTACGTGTGCATCACAAAATAAAACCAGCCATAAAGGACGAAGAAAAGACACGGGAAACGAAAAGGACGCGCAGGTGCGGGGTTATTTCCGCTGAACTCATCCGCTTTCACTGCTCATGCGAAATTCAGCGCGCTTTCAGCAAAGGCGTGCGAGCTGAAGAAAAAAAGAAATAATAAAGAGCACCGTCGGAGCTTCATTTCGACCTGAAAGGGCTCGTGAAAAATTCCCCAAGGCGGTATGAATCAAGTCTTACCGCGAATTCCGCGATACGTCTTCAATTTACGAATGAATGAAAAACGTTTCACAAGCGCTCCGTGGCAGGTTTTCCCAGCACGCCAAGCTACAAACCGGAGAAAAAAGATAAATCTAGTACGGCTTTAAATTACGTCGTTCCTTTAACCACCCGATTTTGTACGATTTAAAACAGCCAAATAAAACTACGCCTCCAGCAGAAAAAAGAAAATAAATAAATAAGGGAAAAGCAAGAACTGTTGCCTTTCTTTATTTTTTGTTTTTAGGGTTAATCCATCCACAACACTGCCGTGCCCTCAACTGTACACTAAATTTTAAAGCGTCGTAAGACCGTAGAGCAGGCTTACCTTGCTCTCGACGATTTGAAGGACCATTTTTTTCTCTTGGCTGTTTGCACGAACTGCTTGATTACAGTGAACTTGATCGACTACTGCGGATACAAGGCGCCCGGCACTGCTCCTTCCGTGCTCACTTGGGCGGGAAGATATTTCAACGGAAGTGAGCGTCCCCGCAGTGCGACGTGATTGGTCTGAATCTACTCACGTGACACCATCTTCCTGGCCGTCGTCACGGCAACAGCGATAGGCGCAGATGCAAATCGATGAAGGACCACGTGATCGAACGGAAACCGACTTACGTACCATTGGCCCGGTGAAATCAATCCGCAACCTTTGTCGGCCTTGGTTGTTTGACACAGAACTTGCGTCTTGGTCTGGAGGCGGCATTAATTTTTGAGAGGGCCGCAGTGGTTCCAACGCTGGAAATCATTCTCCGGCAAAGGAGCTGTCACGGAGATGCCGGAAAAACGAGGTCGCGCGGAGGAGTCACTATGATGGCAGCAGGGTACGGCGGCACGTCCTGTCGCATCGACGGTTGTAGCCATTTTCCGCCAAAATTCGAAATTACTATATTTTGAGAAAGAGATGACTCCAAAGCGAGACCTGCTCGTGCGACCGTGTTTGCTTCCCACATTTACCTGTAACCCCCTCCCCCCCCCCCCCCCAAAAAAAAAAGAAAAAAAAAAAAAAAACTTTCATTTTTTTTTTTTTTTTAAGTTTTGTGTAACGAGATTGCACTGGCACCGTTCGAGTTCTCTCCCAGAATGCATCGCACTCACAGAGTGTTGCACGGAAAACTGGACTCAAACGAACTCGCCAAATGCACCGAGTGCAGAAGACTGATGCTGCCGCCATCTATGTTGTAGAAAAGGTACCGACTTCAAACCGAAACTAGCGCCTTTCTGTTCGGAGTGATGCGTGGGAATGCGAGAATGCAGTCGCTACCAACGTTCATCTATAAACGTTGGTCGCTGCAACCTGTAGTTTATAGTTGCGATGACTTCAAGCAGCTCGGCTGCCGTAGAGATAATTACAGACGGCGTAAATTTCCGCAACCAGCTGTCTACAAAGCAGCTGGTTGCGATCTTTCAATTCTTATAACCGTTTACACTGAAGAAGACTGATGATGCTGTCCGAATAGAAGCTAGATCCGTTTGAGTATGGTATTATGCGTGAACCACTGAAAGGGTACGGCTTAAAACTAGCCTGTTGGAATATCCAGCAAAACTGCGACTTTCGATTTGGATCGTCATTATAGGTGGATTAGATATTAGCCTTGGTGAGGGCGTTGAGAACGAGAGCTTTCTCGAACAAAATACGACGGGGCAAGTTAGCTGACGTAGGTAAATGTTAAACATGATGATGTTGCCCAATCCTCGGGTAAAGTCTCCATCTTTAGCTTTCTCTGATGCTTATTGGGCAGTCAGAGTTTTCTGCTGGGGGAGTTTTGTCGACAATTGTTAGATTTTTCACCCGAACACGGATGGTGATAGACATCTCTGGGGGCCGCTGTTGCGTTTGTTCTGAGCATTTCTTTACACACTGGTATATTTCAGCGTTTCTACGGCAACAGAGCAATTTAAAACCTGCAAATAAATCACGGGTTGTCAATTGCTTCCTTCGTGAAATAGCAGACGCCCACAATTCAAGCTCGCGTTTGATTTCGTTGCCCGCGGGACGCGATTTCTATCGGAAAATCTACTTCTTTTTTTTTTTCCCGTTCGGTTCCGCGACACATCGTAGCAGACGAACCCTCGTCGTCTGCTCCCGCTCCTCGCCGGCCCCACCGGAGCGAGGCATGACGGGATTGCATTTTGGCGCACTCCCGATTTTCTCGGTGCAGCGAGTGCATGCACGCGTGGGGTGTCAGCGCTGAAACGAAGTCGGAGAGTGTAACCACTCGTGGAGTGTCGGCCGAAACGAACCCGTTCCACGCTGCGAGTGGGCACGCGTGGGCACGAGTGCCGTGAAACGAACTCTCTATTATAGCGAGTTCGTTTCACGGCACTCGTGCCCACGCGTGCCCACTCGCAGCGTGGAACGGGTTCGTTTCGGCCGGCACTCCGCGAGTGGTTGCACTCTCCGAGTTTGTTTCAGCGCTGATACCCCACGCGTGCATGCACTCGCTGCACCGAGAAAATCTGGAGTGCGCCAAAATGCAATCCCGTCATGCCTCGCTCCGGCGGGGCCGGCGAGGAGCGAGAGCAGGCGACGAGGGTTCGTCTGCTACGATGTGTCGCGGAACCGAACGGAACAAAAAGTCGATTTTCTGAGAGAAATCGCGTCCCGCGGGCCACGAAATCAAACGCGAGCTTGAATTGTGAGCGTCTGCTATTTCCCGAAGGAAGCAATTGACAACCCGTGATTTATTTGCAGGTTTTAAATCGCTCTGTTGCCGTACAAAGGCTGAAATATACCAGTGTGTAAAGAAATGCTCAGAACAAACGTAACAGCGGCCCCGAGATGTCTATCATCATCCGTGTGCGGGTGGAAAATTTAATATTTGTCGGCAACACTCCCCCAGCAGAAACCTCT